CCCTCGGGGCGGTCACTTATCGTTATACCCAAAACTACCTATAAGATATTTACCTTTTCTCCCCAATACCTTTCACCCTTATTGACAAGTTGTCCTGGTTTAGGGCAAATTTGTTAAAGAATCTCCAAAGGGGGCCCCTCCAGAAAGGAAAACCCGCATGGCCCCTCCCCACAACCAGTTCGGGAAAAAATTCCTTGGAGAGAGGTGGAAAGAACCTGTTTATTTCAGGCCCAGCACCCCCCAGCACACAAAATGAACAATACCAGCTGACACCGCTCTGAGAAAGGTGACAAAATCAGAAAGTCTCTCTCGGGGGTGGTTGCTCTGCTCTCAGTCCCTCCGGCGCTGGGGCAGCGGCTGCAGCCAAATGGTGCCAACCCTCGGTGTTCCCAGTCCCAGTCCGGAGCAGGTCCAGATGGTCACAGGAACAGGAGAGGAGAAACAGTCCGGTATTACAGTGTCCTGTGTGGGTCGCTGGGGGTGAGAGATGGACGAGACTCTTGTTTCTTGATCAGAAGGCTGGATTTATTGATATATGATATATAATACATTATAACTATACTAAATAGAAATAAAGAGAGAAGTTGCAGAGGCTGCTAAGCTAAGCTAAGAATGAAAGAATCTATAACAAAGTTGTGTCCAGGGATTCTGTCCCCAGCTTGCTCCTGTGATTGGCCCTTAATTATAAACATGGGAACACGAACCAATCACCGGTGCATCCCATTGCATTTCACAGCAGCTCATAACAATTGTTTACATTCTCTTTCTGGGGGCCCTTGCTTCCCAGAAAACGAACAAGTCCCAAAGAAAGGATTTCTGTGAAAAAATGTCTGCGACAGTCTGGGAAGGAATTTGGACTGTTTAGCTAAACTAGCTAATAAGCAGAAGCAAAAGCAGAGCAGAAGCAAGAGCAGAAAAGGGAGCAAGCAAAGCAGCAAGCTGAAAGCAAGAAGTGAAAAACAGCCCTATGTACTGTTCGTCTCTGTGTCCCTGATAAGAGAAACCCAAACAAAACTTCCACTCTCCAGAGCCGGTCTTAAAGGCACAGAACAGATGAATGGGAATACAAACATCATAACGTCACCCCCACACAAGTGCACTTTTAGTAAGAACCAATCCCAAAGTGCCACCACCACCACAGAAGATGGAGGCCAAGAAGGAGAAGAAGGAGGACAGGACACGCCCCAATTCCTCCATCTTGTCTCTCTAGAACCCCCCTGGACTGAAATTCTAAAATCTGTGTTTCACACTATAATTAACCTATCAACTGGAGTATGAATCCCAATATTACCAGTTAGATGGTGCCTGGGCCAGTCTGACCCTCGCTGCTGGGCCAAAGGCAGCAGCTGTGGTGTGTCACCCCAGAGACACCTTTGGCTTGCTGGAGATTGCAGCTGGGCACTGAACAAGTCCAGGCTTGTCAGGAACTCCGTTTGCCTCAGGAGGAAAGCTTCAGGCGATGGTGAAGAGGAAAGGACATGGGTTCTGCTGGAGGGTTTATATCCAGAGGTTTATTCCATGGTCACAGAGGTCTGAATGTGGGCAACTGCTCCAACAGAATCACGACCGCATGGTCTGATTCACCTTTTAAGCTCGGGGACAGGGGGAGGGGAGGGACGGATGATCACCAACCAGGTGGAAGGGGCAGGGTCTCAAGGGACCAGGGACACCCAGACAGGCCAATGACCCCCAGGCCTGAGGGGCATCCTTTGGACTTGACCAACCACAGACGCCTTGCTGGAATGTTCAGCCTGATTGACAGGACTCACTCAGCAAGGGGGCGAGGGGGAAGAGGTACAGGCACACCTGGGAGGTGACCTGGGAGTCTAAAATGGGACATTACAGCACACCGCAACACCCATCCCTTCACCACCGATCCCCGTGGGATCCTCCCATCCTCACACAGGTGTCGTCTCCTGTGCAGGATCAAAGTCCAACCACCAAACACTTCTGGCCACGTTCCAGGACCCCCGAGCCCCCCAAGGGTTGTGTTGGTGACTCTGCACATCGGGACTGCTGTGCTGAGATCCCACACCTCCCTTGAATCCTCCCCCAAAATTCCCCTTCCTTGGCATCCACTCCTTGCCCTTCAGTAGTTTGTTTTCCCTGTGTATTCTTATTTTTTTTATATATTTTTTTAAGCATTTATTTTTGCTTTTTTATTTTAATTTTTTTTTTTTTTTTTCCCTGGGAATGGTGGGAATTCTTCATTCTGCCCAAGCTGCTGCAGCTGGGTTTGCTCAGGATCCTGGGGGTTCAGATGAACAGAAAGGGTTTTGAGGGTGGAAAAAACGGGAACTATTCATGAGCAACATCCGCAGGGGGCTGGGAGATCCCAGCAGCTGCACCAGGACAGGCTCTGCCTCCCTGGGCCACAAATTGGGAATTTTTGGCTGCCTAATTCAGCTTTTGGGCTGATTAAATCATGATTTGATATTTGTAAAATTATATTTTAAAAATTATATTTAATATTATGTATTTTTAAATTACATTAAAAATTCTATTTTAAAATTCTATTTAAAAATTCTATTTTTGGCTGCCTAATTGAGCTTTTGGGCTGATGATATGATGATTTGATATTTGTAAAACACGCCAAAAATTATATATTTTAAATTATATATTTTTATATTATATTGAAAACTACATTTTAAAATTATATTTCAAACTATACTTTAAAATGATATTAAAAACTTTATTTAATTTATATTTAAATATTTAAATAATATACTATTTATAATATATTATATTTATATAATACTATACTATAATGTATTTAAGCAATTGTATTAAATTTATATTTATATTAAAATTAAGTATTATATATTTATATGTAAGTATTATATATTAATATGTATATATTATATTATATTATATATTAATATGTAAGTATTATATATTTATATAATACTACTATAATGTATTTAAGCAATTGTATTACATTTATATTTATATTAAAATTATACTTATTAAAAATATAATTAAAATTATATTAAAATTATACTTATTAAAAATATAATTAAAATTATATTAAAATTATATTAAAATTGTATTTAAAATTAAATTAAAGCCATTTTCCAGCTTACAGGAAAAGCCAGAGGTGCCCTTTCTCCTGTGGATGTTTCCTGTGAGCAGTTCCAAGATGAAAAGGGATCCAGCCTCAGCTCAAAGGATTTTTCCCCTTTTTTGCAGGATTTTGGGTGCACTGCAATGACTCCAGGCTGAATGTATGCAGTGTGGAGGAGGTGTGCCAGACCCAGGCCTACATCCTCTTCTACACTCAGAGAACGCTGCAGGACAGAGCGGGAATGCCACAGAAACGGCTCCAAACTCAGGTGTTTGCCACCCAGAACCAGTGACAAGGACACACGAGTGACATTGCCACCAGGGGAAACGCTCCCGGCTGCTTTGGGGACTTCTGGGGTTCAACTTGCCCTGATTGGGGGGGAAACTGCAGGAAATGGGGTCAGGGCAGGGATGGGAACAGGGCAGGAATGGGATCAGGGATGGAATCGGGGCAGGGATGGGATCGGGCCAGGGATGGGATCAGGGCAGGAATGGGATCAGGGATGGGATCGGGGCAGGAGTGGGATCAGGGGTCATGGCAGGGAAGGGATGGGACCAGGGATGGGATCAGAGCAGGAATGGGATGGGGCAGGGATGGGATTGGGGCAGGAATGGGATCAGGGATCATGGCAGGGATGGGATCATGGCAGGGATGGGATCATGGCAGGGATAGGATGGGGCAGGAGTGGGATCAGGAATGGGACCACAGCTTGCATGGGGTCAGGGCAGGAGTGGGATCAAAGCAGGGATGGAATTGGGGTGGGAGTGGGATGGGGCAGGAATGGGAACAGGGCAGGAATGGGATCAGGGATGGGTTCAGGGAGGAATGGGATCAGAGTAGGGATGGGATTGGGGCAGGAGTGGAATCAGGGATGGGATCAGGGCAGGAATGGGATGGGATGGGGCAGGAATGGGATCATGGCTGGAATGGGATCATGGCTGGAATGGGATCATGGCTGGAATGGGGTCAGGGCAGGGATGGAGTCAGGGATCAGAGCAGGGATGAAATCAGAGCAGGGATTGGGTTCAGGGCAGGAATGGGATCAGGGATCAGGGCAGGAATGGGATGGGGCAGGAATGGGATCAGGGCAGGAGTGGGATTAGAGATGAGAGCAGGAATGGGAGAGCAGGGATGGGATCAGAGCACAGCCTGGAGTTCCATCCCTGGCTGGATTTCAGTTCCATCCCAGGATGGATTTCAGTTCCATCCCAGGCTGGATTTCCCTGATTTCCATCCCAGGCTGGATTTCCATCCCAGGCTGGATTTCCCTGATTTCCATCCCAGGCTGGATTTCCCTGGGTTTCCATCCCAGGCTGGATTTCCCTGGATTTCCATCCCAGGCTGGATTTCCATCCCAGGCTGGATTTCCCTGATTCCCATCCCAGGCTGGATTTCCTGGCAGCAGCAGCAGCTGCTGGCTCCCAGGGCTGGGCTCGTCCCTGTCTCTCTCTCGGGTGTGAAACAGAAATCATGTTTTTATGATTTTTTTTTGTTGTTGTTGTTTTGTAAATCTTTACTCTTTTTACACCTTGTTTTTTTGTAAGCTGAAATTTCTTATTAAGAGAAAAAAAAAAAAGAAAAAAAACAAACAGAGAGAAAAAAAAAGAGAAATTCAAGTGGGTTGTGTTGTTATTCCATAAATTTAATAAACATCTGGGGGTGGGGGGTACAGGAGGAAATTCCATGAACATCCTCGAGGAATGAATGGGAAACCAAATCTTCCTCTCAGCATTGAACCTTTTGACCTTGTCACTGCTCCAGGCAGGACAGGGGGGACCAGAGCAGCTCCAAGTGGGACCAGAGCAGCTCCAAAGGGATCAGAGCAGCTCCAGGTGGGATCTGAGCAGCTCCAGAGGGATTTTAGCAGCTCCAAGGCAATCTCAGAAGCTCCAGGTGGCATCTGAGCAGCTCCAGGTGGGATGAGAACAACTCCAAAGGGATCTGAGCAGCTCCACAGCTCCAGTCCTAGTGGGATGGTGAGCTCTGCTCCCAGCAGCTCCAGCTCCTTCCTGGGACAGGAGTCAGCACCGTCAGGGGAGCTGGTTCTGCTCTAAAATCTGGGTAAAAGGGGGGTTCTGTGGGGTTTGGGGCGGGCTCACCCCTGGTTTGTGTCACCTCAGGTGGTGACAGCGCTGTCCTGGGGTGGCAGGGTGAGTTTGGGGGGTTTGTTCAGCCTTGGGGGGTTGCAGCTCCAAACCCTGGTGAGCAGGGCCAGCAGCCAGGGCAGGGCTGGATTTGGGAGATTTGAGGGGGGATTTTGCGAAAGGTTCCTGCCCCCCAGAGGGTTTGGGGACACTGCCCAGGCTCCCCAGGGAATGGGAACAACCCTGAGGCTGCCAGAGCTCCCCAGGATGGGATTTTGGGCTCTCAGGGATGGCCAGGTGGGATTTTGGCATCTCAGGGACACCCAGAGTGGGATTTTGGCATCTCAGGGATGGCCAGGTGTGATTCTGGGATCTCAGGGATGCCCAGGTGAGATTTTGGGATCTCAGGGATGTCCAGGTGGGATATTGGCATCTCAGGAACACCTAGGGTGTGATTTTGGGATCTCAGGGGCACCCAGGGTGTGATTTTGGGATCTCAGGGGCACCCAGGTGGGATCCTGGGGTGCCTGAGCAGGGCAGGGGTTGGATTCAATCCCTGCGGGTCCCTCCCAGCTCAGGATGTTCCCGATCCCGCCCCTCGGTGCCTCCCCCGCGCTGACCGGAGCTACGGCACGGGCTGCGGGGCCATCAGGTCGATGTCGGTGAGGTTCCGGGCCACCCAGACCCCGGCGGCAAAGAGCCCCAGGTTCAGCAGCAGGTTCCTGCAATCACAGAGCCCCAGAAGCGCTGAGTTCGGGAAAGATTTTGGGAAAGTTCACCCGAATCCAGGCTGTGCCCGATCCCCACCCTGAGCACTCAGTGCCACCTCCAGGTGCCACCTCCAGGGATGGGCGCTCCAAACCCCCCTGGGCAGCCCCTTCCAGCCCTTTCCATGAGGAAATTCCTGCTGATGTCCAACCTGAGCCTCCCCAGCCCAGCCTGAGGCCGTTCCCTCTCCTCCTGTCCCTGTTCCCTGGGATAAGATCCCAAATCCCCCCCGGCTGTGCCCTCCTGGCAGGAGTTGTGCAGAGCCAGAAATTCCCCCTGAGCCTCCTTTGCTCCAGGCTGAGCCCCTGCCCAGCTCCCTCAGGACTCTCCAAACCCTTCCCAGCTCCTTCAGGACTCTCCAGGCCCCTCCAGCTCCGCTCCCTTCCCCGGACACGCTCCGGCCCCAAAATGTCCCCCCTGAGGCGAGGAGCCCGAACTGGACGGAGGGACAATCCCTGCCCTGCTCCTGATCCAGGCCGGGGACGGACACCGGGCTCCCGGATCCCAACCCCGACCCCTGCTCCGGGCCCGGCCCCGATCCCGGCCCCATCCGTGCCCCGATGCCGACCTGCGGAAGTCGTTGCGGTCGGTGGCGAAGCGGAAGGCGCTGCGCAGCCAGGTGCGGATGCCCCGCGGCGGGGCCGCCACCGCCCCGGCCGCTCCCGCCGCTCCAGCTCCGGCCGCCGCCACCGCCGCCATTGCTGCCGTGCGCGCGCCCCGTGCACGGCGTCACCGGCGCGGCGTGACGTCACGGCCGGCGCGCGGGGCGCTGCGTGAGGGCAGCGGCGGGAACGGGAGCGGGATTGGGATTGGGAACGGGATCAGGGATTGGGAACGGGAACAGGATCAGGGATTGGGAACGGGAACAGGGATTGGGAACGGGAACAGGATCAGGGATTGGGAATGGGATCAGGGATTGGGAACGGGAACAGGATCAGGGATTGGGAATGGGATCGGGGATTGGGAGCGGGATTGGAATCAGGGATTGAGAGCAGGATCGTGATTGGGAGCGGGATCAGGATCGGAAACAAGAGCGGGAACGGGACCGGGATAGGGATTGGGATCGGGCTAGGATCAGAATTGGGACTGGGATCGGGATCGGGCTGGGATCGGCATCGGAATCGCGACTGGGATCGGGACCAGGACCGGGATTGGGATTGGCACTGGGATCAGGATCAGGAGCGGCACTGGGATTGGGACCGGGATCGAGAGCGGAACCGGGATTGGGATCGGGACTGTTATAGGTTAGTTGCGGTGGGGAATTAATCACCGACTAATAAGTCCAAATAAAATGAAATTTATTAATTGATACAGCAAGCGATAATAGGCAAAGTCAGCCCTCTGGGCGCGTTGGGCGACAGGAGAGTCCCCGCTCCACCACTGCCGCAGTGTTCTGATATTCCGTGGAGTTCTTATACAGTCCTGTTCCCGGGCTGATGTGTAGTACTCTGCGTATTCTTCTTTTGTGTCTAGGTGGTCATAGTCCACCCCCCGGAGGTCTGAAGATGAAGATTGGTATTTTCCTTTGTCTGATTCCTGGAATTTTAGGCTCAATCTGCTGAGTTCCTGGAATCTTAGGTTTACTGAGAGGATAAACTGATACTGTGCTATCAATCATAGCAAGCCCATCACCCATATTAACAGTTTACTAAACAGATAAACAAGTGTTTGTGAAACCCGTTGTCTTTGGTTTCACCTTCCTTATCCTTTAAGTCTGGAAATTTACTTAAGCAAACAAATTGAGGTGGTGCAACTTTGTCAGCTTTGATGAACAAACTTAAAGTTTTAACCCATTACAGAGCCCAGGGGAGAGGCTCAGGTGGAGCCCCAAAGCCAAGAGCTGCACATTTTGGGGTGCTCGGTGTGCCACGGTGGCAATGAGGGTCCTGAAGGGCCCTCGGTGGGGTGAGGACTGTGGTTAGAGTGAGGTTTATTATAATTTTTATTATAGAATGCTTTTAGCAATAAAAGTAACTTATTCTTGCACAGAATTTCTGGAATTAGCACAGTTTTCCTGTTGTTCCCATTTCCCTCCTGCTCCTCTCTGGGGACACCCAGGTGACCAAGCCAGGCCTGGATCCGTGAGGACATCCTGCCACACTGTCCATCCGTCCATCCATCCATCCGTCCATCCATCCGTCCGTCCATCCATCCGTCCATCCATCCATCCATCCATGCATCCGTCCATCCATCCATCCATCCACCCATCCATCCATCCGTCCATCCATCCAATCCTGCAGCCTCGTCTGTCCCTGCTGCTGGATCGTCTCCCCAAATCCCACTAATTGATCCACCCAAATTGATTTATGGCAATTAGTGACCCTCATTAAGGGGCCAGCTGGAGATCCAGGCGTTATCCCCCTGGCAGGAGCAGCCAGATCCCCTGGGCTGCCCTGGCCCCACACCCTGTTTGGGGTTTTGGAAGGGTTTAGCCCCATTCTAATGAGCATGGAAGAAGGCCTTTGAACCTATCCTTTGTTCACAATTAACCTTGTTAAGTCTTAAGTTGATTTAGGAGCATTTGAATTAAAGCTTTAAAGATGTTGCTTTTTGACAGAAACTTTCTGCTTGTGGCTGAGTTCTGCAATAATAACCTTTTGAAGCATAATTTTAGAATATTGCTTGTACCCTTGAAACTATAGCTTTGGAATACATAAAAAGGAAACATGCTTATCTCACACCTTAACAAAGCAGAGAAAAGCAGCTTTAGAAAGGAAGATGAACATCACCTCAAGGATTTATAGTTTCGACCAAGGGAAGCTGCACATCACTGCTATGAGATTTACAGTCCTTGCAATCAAAAGGTGGACCCACATCTGGAATCTGGACCTCACCAGCTGGGATTCTTCATCCTTCTTTCTGGGGAAACCAGACCCCCACCATCTGGGGATACTCCTTTTTGGGATACATACTGAAAAAAAAATAAATCACAATAGTGTATAGAATTGTGACGTAGAAATTTGGAATAGAAACTGCTGATGAGTAAAAACTGAGAATAGAAACTGCTGATGAGTAAAGAATAGGAATAGAAACTTTGAAACTATAGCTTTAGAACGATTATATTATAGTATAGTATATTATATTTATTCTATAGAATATATATGGAATATATATAATATATTCTATATAACATATATTCTATATATTCTATATAATATATATAACATAGAGTATATATTATATATTATATAATATATATATTCTATATATTATATAGAATATATTATATGTATTCTATATATTATGTATAATATAGAGTATATATTATATATTCTATAATATATATTCTATATATATTATATAGAATATATTATATGTATTCTATATATTATGTATAATATAGAGCATATATTATATATTCTATAATATATATTCTATATATATTATATAGAATATATTATATGTATTCAATACAATATTATTGTAATACATTATATATTACATTATATTATACATTATAATTGTAATACAATTAATACATACAATACTATACTCTATGTATAATATAGAGTATGTATTATATATTCTATAATATATATATTCTATATATATTATATATAATATATTATATATATTATATATATAATGTATAATATATAGAATATATAGAATATATTTTTTACATATATTCTATATAATACATATATTATGTTATAAATTTAACTCCACAACGAGTTAAGTTGTCCAATTAGAATTTATTAATTATAGCAAGCAAAGATAATAAGCAAAACAGCGCTGGGCGACAGGGGAGTCTCCGCTCCACCAACTGCCGCACCCAACCTTGCGTTTGTCCCCCTTTTATGCCAGTTTATTTCCGTGTGCGTGCTCTGGTTTTTACGCATGCTCCAGTTGTTGCTAGGGCGTCTTTTTCTACCCTCTGGTGGTCGATGGATGAAGGCTCAAAGTCTACCTCAGGCCTGTCCTCTTGACCTCGGAACTCTCGCCTTCCTTATATGGGGTGGTGTTTGGCTGGTTTCTATTTCTCGGCTCTTCTTAGTTCCTAAAATTTAGCTTTTCGCAAGGTTAATATTTGCGCAATGTGTGGTTAATACTTACACAAGCAATAGCTAATATAATCTTTTAGGTTATGTATTTCTTAATCGCATGGTTGCCGGTTATGTATTTCTTAATCACATGGTTGCCCATATCCGGGTTTAGTGAGCAGGGATATTCGTTACATATATTATATTATATATTCTATATAATATATATAGAATATATATATAGAATATATTCTATGTAGTATATTCTATATAATATATATGCTATATATTCTATATAATATATATAATATAGAGTATGTATTATATATTCTATAATATATATTCTATATATATTATATAGAATATATTATGTGTATTCAATATATAATGTATAATATAGAGCATATATTATATATTCTAGAATTTATGTATTCTATATGTATTATATAGAATATATTATATGTATTCATTATATTATGTATAATATAGAGCATATATTATATATTCTAGAATATATGTATTCTCTATATATTATATAGAATATATTATATATATTCTATATATAATGTATAATATATAGAATATATAGAATATATAGAATATATATATTCTATATAATACATATATAAAAACTGCTGAGAAAGCTGATGAGTTCCCCTATAAATACCTGTGAGCCTCAAGTATCAGTGGGGAGGGAAAACTTCCCCCACTGCACCCAGCACTGTATTGCTCATACTTTATTAATTAATAAATTGATTGCTGATTTATTAATGAATAAATTGATTCCTGCTTGAATATTTGCCCAGCCAAGCTTCTAACACCTCCCACGTTCCTGGAAGGTCAGGCCATGTGCACGCAGCAATCCGCATGGCCGGCCCGACCAGTTCCGACCAGTTCAAACCAGTTCCTTATCAGCGCGTCCCTGCCCAAGCCCCCGCGGCTGCCGGGGCCGTTCCGGGCCGCGGGGAGGTGATAAATGCCGAAATCCTCGGGGCAGGGCGGGATGGCCGCGCCTGGAAGCAGCCCCGCAGCCCCTGGAGCGCCTTTCCCGGCGGGAATGCCGGGGGATAGGGGGGAGGAGAGCCGGGAGGCGCCGGGCTGGCTCGGGAGGGGATGATCTGGGTGGGCAGCGGCTTTGGGAGACCCCCCTGCAGGGCCGCGAGGTGACGGACGGACGGACGGACGCGCCGGGAGGTGACAGCAGCGGCGCCGGCATGGCAGCAAAGGTGGGCGCCGCGGAGCCCCGTCCTGCCAGGGCTCTCCAAACTCCCCAACCCTGCTTTGTTCCCTCCTCGGTTCTGCTCCAGCTCCCCGGGAATGGGGGGGTCCCGCTCCCCGAAATGTCCCGGGACAAGCCTGGGAGCAGCGCGGGCACCGAGCGGTTGGTGCTGGAGCTGGGGGGTTCGTGCCCCGAGGGACCCCGGGATCCCCTTTTCCATGGATATTCCACACCCCAGGATCCCCTTGTCCATGGATATTCCACACTCTGGGGGTGCAGGACCCCCTTCTCCATGGATATTCCACACTCTGGGGGTGCAGGATCCCCTTCTCCATGGATATTCCACACTCTGGGGGTGCAGGACCCCCTTTTCCATGGATATTCCACACTCTGGGGGTGCAGGATCCCCTTCTCCATGGATATTCCACACTCTGGGGGTGCAGGACCCCCTTTTCCATGGATATTCCACACTCTGGGGGTGCAGGATCCCCTTGTCCATGGATATTCCACACTCTGGGGGTGCAGGGCCCCCTTTTCCATGGATATTCCACACTCTGGGGGTGCAGGACCCCCTTTTCCATGAATATTCCACACTCTGGGGGTGCAGGACCCCCTTGTCCATGGATATTCCACACTCTGGGGGTGCAGGGCCCCCTTTTCCATGGATATTCCACACTCTGGGGGTGCAGGACCCCCTTTTCCATGGATATTCCACACTCTGGGGGTGCAGGATCCCCTCTCCATGGATATTCCATGTCCTGGGGGTGCAGGGCCCCCTTTTCCATGGATATTCCACACTCTGGGGGGTGCAGGACCCCCTTTTCCATGGATATTCCACACTCTGGGGGTGCAGGACCCCCTTGTCCATGGATATTCCACACTCTGGGGGTGCAGGGCCCCCTTTTCCATGGATATTCCACACTCTGGGGGTGCAGGATCCCCTCTCCATGGATATTCCATGTCTGGGGATGCAGAATCCCCTCTCCATGGATATTCCATGTCCTGGGGGTGCACTTTGCGGGTCTTTGCTCCCACCCCGAGATTCCCGGAGGAATTCGGATCTCCCCGGGGCGGGATCCGGGAAGCGGCGCTGCTCGGGCTGTGCTCGGGGGCGGAATCAGCGCCGGGAGCGGGGCGGGAAGAGGAAGGGAAACTCCTGGGGGAGGCACCGAGAGCTCGGGGAGGGCTCCTCGGGAGGGATCCGCTCCCGCTGGACATTGGTGTGGAACGAGACCGGGGTGCGGGCCGGGAGGATTGGGGTGCGGGGGTGCAGGACTGGGGTGCAGGGAAGGATTGGGGAGCAGGATTGGGGTGCAGGGAAGGATTGAGATTCAGGCGTGCGAGAGTGGGGTGCAGGGAAGGATTAGGATTCAGGATTGAGGTGCAGAGGTGAAGGATTGGGATTCAGGGACACAGGATTGGGATGCAGGAAAGGATTGGGATTCGGGGAAGCAGGATTGGGCTGCAGAGGTGCAGGATTGGTATTCAGGACTGGGGTGCAGGGAAGGATTGGGATTCAGGATTGGGGTGCAGAGGTGCAGGATTGGGATTCAGGATTGGGGTGCAGGGAAGGACTGGGATTCAGGATTGGGGTGCAGGGCTCTCCAACCCCTCCATGCTCCAGTGCTGCCACCCCTCAATTTAAGGACAAAAATGGGGTTTCATGCTGGCGGGGGGCTCACCCAAGCCCCCGCGTCCCGACACCCGGATCCCTTGGGGACATCCCGGGGTGACCCGTGGGGTTGGCAGGGACACGTGGCAGGGACAAACAGAGCCTGGGGCGGGCAGAGGGGGTGCCAGGGCACTGCCAGCCCCGTGTCACCCCCAGGGTCTCGGTGTCCATACCGGTGTCCCCGGAGGTGTCGCGGGGCTGGCAGCAGCAGCAGCAGCACGGGTGGCACCTGGCTGGCTGGCAGTGTCCCCAAGGCGGCAGTGACGTCCCCGGGGGCCGTGCTGAGCCGGCCTCTCCCTGCCTTGCAGCGGATCCCGCAGCTCCCGGCGCCCTCGGCCAGCATGTTCCACCCGCCGGGCTGCAGGAGGAGCTTCCCCAGGGAGGTACGGGCGGCGGGGAGGGATCTCCTGGGAAAGCGCTCCTGGAGCTCCTCTGGGGCTCTCCTGGGGTTCTCCTGGAGCTCTCCTGGATTGGGGTTCTCCTGGAGCTCTCCTGGATTGGGGTTCTCCTGGAGCTCTCCTGGGGCTCTCCTGGGTTGGGGCTCTCCTGGAGCTCTCCTGAAGCTTTCCTGGGTTGGGGTTCTCTTGGAGCTCTCCTGGGTTTGGGCTCTCCTGGGTTGGGGCTCTCCTGGAGCTCTCCTGGGAAAGCTCTCTTGGGGTTCTCCTGGAGCTCCCCTGGGTTGGGGCTCTCCTGGGTTGGAGCTCCCCTGGGTTGGGGTTCTCCTGGAGCTTTCCTGGGGCTCTCCTGGGGCTCCCCTGGGTTGGGGCTCCCCTGGGTTGGAGCTCCCCTGGGTTGGGGCTCTCCTGGAGCTCTCCTGCGGCTCTGCTGGGACTCCCCTGGGTTGGGGCTTCCCTGGAGGCCTCCTGGGAAAGCTCTCTTGGGGATCTCTTTGGGCTCCCCTGTAGCTCTCCTGGGGCTCCCCTGGCTTGGGGTGTGAGCCCAGCATCGCCCTGGGGCCACCCTGGGTTCCCTCTGCCCCATCTCCAGCCCTGGGGATGCTGAGGAGCCAGGAGAACACCAGGGTGGGGAGGAACCCCGGCTGATCTGGGCTCTCCCAGGGCAGCCGGGTGGGCTCCTGGGGCTCCCCATCCCTGCCTGCTCCTGGGGCTCTCACGGCTCTGATCTCTCCACAGCCTGCTCCGTGGTGGGATGGGCCGTGGCCGTGTCCCCCTGATGGCCCTGAGGACACCTGGGACAGGCCACCATGGGATGAACCACCTTGGAATGAACCACCATGGGATGAACCACCTTGGAATGAACCACCTTGGGATGAACCACCTTGGGATGGGCCACCATGGGAGCAGCAGCCCAGGAGACGCCCGTGCAGAAGGGGCCCGGTAAGGGACAGGGCTGGGGGAGATGTCCCAAGGATGTCACACTTTGTCAGGGAGACCCTCCCAAGTCACCAAACGCCATCCCCAAAACCATTCTGGACATGTCTGGATCCACTCGTGGTCCCCCAGGCACAGACAGGAGTTGGTGGCTTTCTAAATTCCCAAAAGGAGTCTGGAAATGTCGGGATCCAGCAGAAATCGAAAGGATTTCACAGGTTCACCCTTCATCCCAGGATTAAGAATGGCAAAATAAATATATTTACATAGGTATATGTGATATACCTATGTAAATGTATTTATATATGTATGAATTTATATATATATGAATTTATATATATACACCTAAATATAAAATTGTATTTTTATATATATACCTATATATAAAATTTGTGTATATATATATATACACACACATATATATATTTTTATATATATATATACATATATATACACCTATATATAAAGATAAATTATTTATAAAATTATTTTTATTATAAAATATATTTTATTATAAAATATTATATAATATTTTACTATAAAATATTTTTATTTATATATTTTTATTTATTATCACTAATCTGCAGTGCAGTGGGGATGGTGTTATGAATGAGGTCCTGTATGTCTAATTTATTAAACCACAAAATCAGAACTTAGCAGCAGTTTTAATTGAGCAGCAATTTTATATAAAATTGAGCAGCAATTTTATATAGAATTAATACAATCAAGTATTTATTTATTTATTTATTTAATACAATCAAGTAAATTTGGCAGTGATTTCAAGGCTGATTCCTTAATTATGCCAAGGTCTGTTCTATTTTGAGATGTTACTTATCTCAAACTACATCCTGTATCCTATTTTCTCATGAACATCTGAAAACATCTGGTTTGTGGCACTAATTACATGTCCTTTTCCTCTATTACTTTTTAACAAATATTTTCTAAACTATCAAGATATTTACAATTACAATATATTTATATTATTTATTATATAATAGATAACATTATATAATATATATTATATAATACATATTATATAATACAATACATTATATATAATATTATATATTATATAATATATATGATATATGATATATGATATATTATATATATTACTGTACTATAGTATATAGTACATAATATATATAGTATATAGTATATAATATATACTATATTATATATATATATACAAATACAATATATTTACAATTGTTAGCCCAAATCACATTCATTTATCACAATGGTTACACCAGGGCACTGCTAATTAAATCAATAGTTTCAAAATTAATTAGCAATTACAGTTTAGATTGTGTTGCTCACCCAGACCCACAGAAATCTCTTTGGCTCACTCCAGGAGTGACCCTGAAGGGCTCCAGAAATGAACCCACACTCACTCCAGGGAAATTCCCCTGTTCAAAAGTGGGGTTTAGTTTTTGTAGCATGAAATGATGGATGTTGGGGGGTTTGGGGAGCATTTTTCCTTAAAAGAAATCAAATTGCTGCCCTCTGGTTCCTCCCAAGGAACATCTGCCCCTGTTCCCTGCCGGTGCCGTTTGCTCTCGCGGTTTCACATCCTCGTGGGGTTTCATTTTGGGATTTTGGAGTCACTGCTGCTCTCAGGGCTCTCCAGCACCGCTGGCAGCCTGATCCTCCCTCTCCACTGTTTCTGATTTCCACAGCCAGGTGAAATCTGAGCTGGTTCACCCCAATTGCATCCTGCTGCTGCAGGGAGGGATTTACCCACAAACCCCAAAGCAGCGAGCAGGAGAGGCACAAAGAGCCGAGGGTCACAACGGGGAGGGGGAGCAGCAAGAAATCCCAAACATCCCAGTGGGTTTGTGGGGAGAAAAAAATCCCAAAAAATCCCAGTGGGCTCATGGGGAAAAAATCCCAAAATTCCCAGTGGGCTCATGGGGAAAAAATCCCAAAAAATCCCAGTGGGCTCATGGGGAAAAAAATCCCAAAATTCCCATGCTGAGTGTCCTCACCGTGGCCGTTCCCTTTGCAGCCCAGCCCCAGAGCCTTCCCCGGCCCTGGGGACGTCCCCTGGAACGAGGAGGAGCAGGACAGGAGGTGGGCACCCCCCGAGCGTCCCCTGCCACCGCCCTGGCAGGACAGAGCAGCCGTGCCAGGAGCTGAGGGTGACTTTGGAGAGTGCTGGTACCAGGTGAGGGCTGGTGGCACCTGGCCGTGGTGGCACCACAGTGGTGACATGGGGCAGGGGACAGTCACTGCCCTGGTGACAAGGACAGCGTGTGGGCATCCTGTCCCATTCCCTCAATCCGGTTTATCCCTGCAGGATCCACCTCCTGACCCCTGGCCTGAGTACCCCAAGGAGGAGCAGCCCCAGCCCTGGCCCCCGTCCGGCCCTGCAGGGTGGGTGACAACGAGTGACACCAGCACGGCTGTCCCTGCCTGTTGGCATCGCACAGAGACCCCTCCCAAGCCAACCCCCCCCATGCTGGGGCTGGCTGGAGGAATTCCTGAAGGAATCCAAGGAAATTCCCGAAATTCCTGCAGGAATCCAGGGAATTTTCACCAGCACCGCCCGCCCTGGAGCCACCACCCCCCGGCTGGGACGCGACCGAGCCGCCCCCGGCAGCTGCTCCTGGTGCCCCGGGCGTGGTGTCCCCGACCCTCCCGAGGTCTGTGCTGCCCCCAGGCCGGCTCCTCGCTGCTCTCCATCCTCTCCCGGGCCAGCCTGAGGAGTTTCTGCCGCTGTTTCCCACCCTGCAGGGCACAGGCCGCGCTCCAAGCCCTCCTGCCCTGCCCCGTCCAGGAGGAGCCAGCCCGGGGCCAGGAAGGAGCCGCAGCCCCCGGAGCCTCCCCAGCGCCCGGAGCCGCCGCCAGGGGCTGCAGAGGGGCAGGAGCAGCCGCAGGTGAGGGGTCTCACCTGACCCACCCCGTCCCACAGCAGGGCTGTGCTCACCCCGAGCCCGGCACGCTGTGCTGGTTCCCTGCAGGACGTGCCAGCGGGGACTGGGGGTGTTCTGGAGCCCCCCAGCCCGGCCAGGAGCCCTCTGGAGAGCCCAGCTGCTGATCCTGGTGCTGGTCCTGGTGCTGCAGAGCTGCAGGTAGGACATTCCTCATCCCAGGGGTGCTCCCAGCCCTGGAGCTGCCTGGCTCAGGGGTGTCCGTGGCTGCTGGGGCATCTCCCTCCTCTCTGCTCCAGCCCTTCCCCTCTCCACATCACTTTTTGCCAGGTGTGGAGTTTTTCCAGGCTTTTCTCAGTGTTTCCTGTGGGTTTTAAGTGTCCTTCCCATCCCATCCCATCCCATGGATCCCATCCCATTTCATCCCACAGATCCCATCCCATGGATCCCATCTCATCTCATCCCATCCCATAGATCCCATCCCATTTCATCCCATTGATCCCATCCCATAGATCCCATCCTATGGATCCCATCCCATCTCATCCCATCCCATTGATCCCATCCCATTCCACCCCATAGATCCCATCCCATGGATCCCATCCCATCCCATGGATCCCATCCCACCCCATCCCACCCCATTTCCCATCCCCAGGTGGAGCTGGGAGCTGGGCAGAGCCCTGTGGGCAGCCAGGATCAGGGTCCCTGTGCTCCAGGAGCAGATCCAGCCCCTCCTGAGGAGATCTCCAGGAATCCTGAGATCCAGGAGCACCTTGAGGTATGGGGCCGCTGGGGAGGGGCACAGGACCAGCTCCAGGCTCCCCAAACCTCCCCACCAGCACACACAGCTTCCCCTGGGGATGGTTTCTATTTTTTTTCTATTATTTTTTCTCTTTTTTTTTTCTATTTTTTCTGTTTTTCCTATATTTTGTATTATTTTTCCTGTTTTTCTCTATTATTCTTCTATTATTTTTCTATTATTTTTCCATTATTTTTCCATTATTTTTCCATTATTTTTCCATTATTTTTCTATAATTTTTCCTATAATTTTTCCTATATTTTTTCTATAATTTTTTCTATAATTTTTTCTATAATTTTTCTATAATTTTTCTATTATTTTTTCTATTATTTTTCTATTATTTTTCTATTATTTTTTCTATTATTTTTTCTATTATTTTTCTATTTTTCCTATTTTTTCTATTCCCACCCTAAAGCAGAGCCTGCAGGGAGGCACAGCCCCCTTTCCCAAACCCTCTGATCCCCTCACTGTGGACTCCACAATGCCCCTGCACGGCGTGGGAGGGACTAATCCCACTCTGAAATTTAAGAGTTTAATTAGCGATAATAAATAAATAAGTATTTATTTATTATTTATATTATTTCTATGTATTTATTAATAAATAAGTATTTATTTTTATTTATTATTTATTTACTTATTAAATAAGTATTTAATATTATTATTTATTTATTTATTTACTTATTTATAATAATAAGTAAATAAGTATTTTTTTATTAAACCAGTAAAGCAGAAGTGGCAGTGCTGCAGCCAGAGGCACACACGCACACTTTTCAGTCCTTTGTGCTGCTGCAATTGCACAACTTCCTCAGATTTCTTGGCACGTTCTCAGGGCCAAGTTTGCCTCAGCTCCACCCTGGGTTGCTGCAGGGTCTGAGGGTGCATCCAGGACCCTCCCCTGGTTTTCTCCTGATGCCACTTGATCCCTGGCGTTCTCTTTTTGTGCTGTTTTGTTCTCTGCCTCTGCTATCTTGGTTCTGCATGTTGTTATCTCCTGTGCCAGCCTTGCTTTGTGCACATTTTCAGTTCCTCAGCCCACAAAAGCCATTACAGATTCGCCTTCTGTCTGAAAGCTGTTACAATTCACCGGCAATTCCCGTTTATAACAACAACAATTCCCCAAATTTGGCTGTTTGTGCCGCGCAGGTGGAGCCGTGCGGTGTCCCCAAGGCTGGCAGCGGTCACGGGTCACCTCCCCAGAGCCCGGCAGCCCCTCCAGACCCTGCCAGGAGGGAAACCCTGGAGTGCAGCTGCTCTGGAGAGCTCAGCCCTCACTCCTGCGGGGCTGGGGAAACTGAGGCACAAGCTGCTCAGGCTGGGGTGAGTTTGGGGCGTGGGGCAGCTCCGTGTCCCCACCCCAATGGGGGACAGCGCTGTCCCCATGTCCCAGCACAGCCACTCTCTGTCCCTCAGCCTCTGCAGAGCCTTCATCCTCCTGAGAACCCTCAGCTTCCTCCAGGACCTGCGGCAGAGCCCCAAGCCCAGCCCAGCCCAGCTGCTCCTGGCGCCTGCACCCCACCGGAGACCTCCACAGCGCCCCAGAGCCCGCCCGGGGCTGGTGCCACCAACCTGGTACGGGGTCTGGGTGTCCCCAGTGTCCCCCCGGGCTTGGGGACGCTGCCAGAACCCAGGGGGATCCCTGTGGCTGCGGGACGTGGGGCTTAGGGGCGGCTTTGTCTGGAGGCACAGCCCGTGTCGGCCCCGGGAAAGCAGCCAGGGCAGGAAGCCGAGGCTCAGGGGTGTGACCACAGTGTCACAACAGCGTGTGGAGCTGCTGCCAGACCCACAGGGCACGGCCACGGGGTCAGCACCCCGAAACCAGCACCAAACAACCCCTATTTTAGCCCACAAATATCATCCAAACCCCTGCAAGCCCCCCAAAATGCTGAATTCACACCCTCACCCCCCAGCATGGCTCCCAAATCTGCTCAGGTGAGATCCTCCCCATCCTGGAGCTGCTCCCAGACCCTCAGGGCAGGGCACAGGGTCAGCGCCCCAAAAGCAGCACCAAACAACCCCCGATTTTAGCCCACAAACCCCCAAACATCATCCAAACCCCTGCAGAGCATGGCCACAGGGTCAGCACCCCAAAACCAGCACCAAACAACCCCTATTTTAACCCACAAACCCACAAATATCATCTGAGCCCATGCAAACCCACAGCAAGCTCCCCAAAACACCAAATTCACACCCAGCATTGCTCCCAAAGCTCCTCAGGTGAGATCCCCCCATCCTGGAGCTGCTCCCAGACCCACAGGGCAGGACCGCGGGGCCAGCACCCCAAAACCAGCACCAAAGCACCCCGATTTTAACCCCCAAATATAATCCAAACCCCTTAAACCCGCAGCACAAACCCAGTGTCACACAACAGTGTGACAGCAGAGTGTGAGCAGGCCTGGAATGGAGCTCTGAGGAAGCCAAGGAGAACCCACCAGAGCAGATTAATTACTGCTAATGAGGGAGAGAAGCTGGGGCAAAGAGGGGGAGTGGGGTGGCACCCACGGGAGGGGTGACAAAGCAGTGACAAACTGTTGGGAGTACTAACATGAGCGATTAGTAAATTTTGAACTTTGTTGGTAGGTGTATATCTTTGTATTAGTGTTAATGAATTTTATGCGTATTGTAAAGGCGAGCTCACTATTGGCTAGTTGTTTATTAGGTAACCGCGCTTACTTTTGTATTTTTGTGGATATTTTATTGAATTTTTTTTTTCGTGTTCTCGCTAAAGATGTTCTTTCCTATCTTACTGTTGCACGAAGGGCACAATGTGTCCAGTAACAAGCAAAAACATTGTGCCCTTCGTGCAACAGTAAGATGGGAACAATGCTGGGTGTGAATTTGGCGTTTTGGGGGGCTTGCAGGGGTTTGGATGATATTTGTGGGTCTGTGGGCTAGAAGCAGGGGTTGTTTGGTGCTGTTTTTGGGGTGCTGACCCCGTGGCCGTGCTCTGCAGGGGTTTGGACGATATTTGTGGGTTTGTGGGTTAAAATAGGGGTTGTTTGGTGCTGGTTTTGGGGTGCTGACCCCGTGGCCGTGCTCTGCAGGGGTTTGGATGATATTTGTGGGTTTGTGGGCTAAAATCAGGGGTTGTTTGGTGCTGCTTTTGGGGTGCTGACTCTTACACTTGTCTCTTTCAAGCTTAGCTAGCGGCATTATGTGACCTTTCTCAGCTAGCTGACTGTCTGCAAAGCTCTCTACAACAAACCAGCGGCTCCTTCCGTGGGGTGGCCACTCCTGGGCTGGTCACTGACCGGTGTGGCTCAGTCCCTTTCCCCTCTGAGCTTCCCTTGGGGTTTTGGAGTCACTGCTGCTCTCAGGGCTCTCCAGCGCTGCTGGCAGCCTGATCCTCCCCCTCCACTGCTGATTTCCGCAGTCAGGTGAAATCTGAGCTCATTTCATCCTGCTGCACAAAGGGGGACTCACCCTTTGCCCGTTCCCCCTGCCAGGCTGTGTGTGGCCAGCAGCAGCCCAGCCCAGAGCCCCCCACGCCATTCCCAGCCGGAATCGACTCCCGCTCGGCTGCTGTGCTCAGGAGGAAGGCAAAGATCGAGCTGGTGAGTCCTGGGGGGCACCTGAGGGGCTGGGGGCAGCTCCAGGATGGGGGGATCGCACCTGAGGAGCTTTGGGAGCAATGCTGGGGGGTGAATTTGGTGTTTTGGGGAGCTTGCTGTGGGTTTGCAGGGGTTTGTGGGTTAAAATAGGGGTGGTTTGGTGCTGCTTTTGGGGCGCTGACCCTGTGGCCGTGCCCTGTAGGTCTGGCAGCAGCTCCAGGATGGGGAATCTCACCTGAGGAGCTTTAGAAGCAATGCTGGGGGTTGAGGGTGTGAATTTGGTGTTTTGGGGAGCTTGCTGTGGGTTTGCATGGGCTCAGCTGATGTTCGTGGGTTAAAATAGGGGTGTTTTGGTGCTGGTTTTGGGGCGCTGAGCCCGTGGCCCTGCCCTGCAGGGATTTGGATGGTATTTGGGGCTTTGTGGGTTAAAATAGGGGTGTTTTGGGGTGCTGAGCCCGTGGCCCTGCCCTGCAGGGGTTTGGATGATATTTGTGGGTTTGTGGGCTAAAATCGGGGGTGTTTTGGTGCTGGTTTTGGGGTGCTGAGCCCGTGGCCCTGCCCTGCAGTCGTACCAGCAGTTCAGCCTGAGCATCGCCGTGGTGGCCACGATGCTGCTGCACCAGGAGCCCTCGATGGAGGCGGCGCTGGGGGTGGCGCTCAGGGCCAACCTGCGCCAGGGCCGCCTGCACCACCTGCAGCAGCTGGAGGAGTTCATCGACAGCCTCGACTCCGTGGGCTCCAGCAGCCTCTGAGGGCTGCCACCCCCTCCTGCCCTGGGACAGGGCTGGGACAGCGCCCTGGGGTGCTCAGGAGCCTGCAGGGTGAGGTGGGAGGTGTTGGCAGTCCCTTGGAGAAGGAGGGCGAGCAGGATGTGTTTGTTTTTAGCCCTGCCCAAAGCCCTGGGGGCAGCCAAAACGTCGCTGGTTTGACTGGAGGGAGGGCAGCAGTGCCTGTTCTCCTTTCCTGACGGCCAGGAGGGCGCCCCCAAACCCCAGCGAGTGTTTTTGGGTTTAAATCTGCAAATAAACCGTGGCCTTTTTGCAGCCCTTGCTGTGCCATTGTTGTGTTCCTGCAAGGGAGGGGTCCCACGGTGAGCCCCGGCTGTGGCAGAGGGCACAGGTCACCCCTGGGGACCTCCCAGCCCTGGTGACAGTGCCAGTGTCACAGTGGGGTGGGAAGGAACAGGGCAGAGCCTGAGTTCAGATTTCAGCCAGAATTTATTGGAGATTTGTCACCTGCAGCATCAGAGCTGCACCCCTGGTCCCCTCCCTATGGGGACACGGTGCCACCAGGGATGGAGAGCAGGGATGGAGATGGAGCCCTGGTCACAGTGTCACTGTCACAATGGGCTGGGAAGGAACAGGGCAGAGCCTGAGTTCAGATTTCAGCCAGATTTTATTGGAGCTTCGTCCCTGGTCCCCTCCCCATGGGGACACGGTGCCACCAGGGATGGAGAGGGGTGGCAGTGGGGCACAGAGCAGCCCAGGGCAGGACACCCCGCGTTCCCCAGCGCTGGGGGGACGCCGGCAGCTGCCCCTGTCCCCACCTGCCGCCTCGTGGGAGGCGCTGGGGCCGGCCCTGCCCCGCTCCCTTCCTGCTTTACCTGTTCCTAATTGCGGGAGGGCCGGGCAGGAATGGCAGCCTCTGCTCTGCTCTGCTCTGCGGGGGCAGCGACCCCAGCAGCCTCTCCCACCAGCCTCGGGCACCTCCAGGGTGCGATTGGAAGGCGTCGATGCCCTGGCAGGAGCTGGCAGTGCCCCTCGGCACCCCCAGCCCGCTGTCAGCACACGCTGCAGTGCTTGGCCGTCCTGCCCCTGCCCCTCTGCGTGGGCTCCCTGCCCAGGGGGTTCATGCCGGGCTTGGGGATGGGCTTCCCGAAAAAGAAACCCTCCTCCTCCGAGTCTGAGTCCGAAGATGAGGAGCAGGTGGGGCACCAGGAGTCCTCCTCTTCCTCCTCCTCCTCCTCCTCCTCTGTGCCGTGCCCCGCCCGGGCGCCGTGTCGGGGACGGGAGGTGCCCGCCTGCAGCTCCGCGGCTCTTCGGGGTTCAGGGGACCCCGAAAGGGCTCTGGGCTCCTTGGGGGGCTCTGGGCCGGGCTGGGGGGCTGGGGGGTGGCTGGCTGGGGGTCCCAGCACCCCTGGGTGCTCCTTGGCAGCGTCGCTGCTCCGCTCCCGTGGGGCCGCGCCGAGATCCTGGGGGCTCCTGAAGGCGGGGTGCACGGGGGGCTGCTCCGAGAACGCCTCTGCAAGAGGGGAATGAGCGGGAGGGAGGGAGGAGAGGCTGAGCCTGCCCTCCACAGCCCTCCCACAGCAAGGGGTGTCTCGGGACACAGCGGGGTGGCACCCAGCTCCCACCGTGGGGAGTTTATCGCCAATTCCCACGGGGTGACATTCCCAGGAAAGTCCCCAGAGCCTGGATTTGCTCCCACTCCATGGCAGTGGGGTCCTACCATCCCCAAAGTGCCTGGATTTGCTCCCATCCCATGCTGGAGGCTCCTACCATCCCCAAAGTGCCTGGATTTGCTCCCATCCCCATGTTGGAGGCTCCTACCATCCCCAAAGTGCCTGGATTTGCTCCCATCCCCATGTTGGAGGCTCCTACCATCCCCAAAATCCCCTGGATTTGCTCCTACCATCCCCAAAATCCCTGGATTTGCTCCCACCCCATAGCAGAGGCTCCTACCATCCCCAAAGTCCCGAGAACCTGGATTTGTCCCCTCCCATCCCATGGCATGAGAGTCCTACAGCCCCAAAATCCCTGGATTTGGTCCCACCCCATGTTGGAGGCTCCTACCATTCCCAAAGTGCCCAAAATCCCTGGATTTGCTCCCACCCCATGTCGGAGGCTCCTACCATCCCCAAAATCCCCGGATCTGCTCCCACTCCACAACAGAGGCTCCTACCATCCCCAAAATCCCTGGATTTGCTCCCACCCCATGTTGGAGGCTCCTACCATTCCCAAAGTGCCCAAAATCCCTGGATTTGCTCCCACCCCATGTTGGAGGCTCCTACCATCCCCAAAGGCCCCAAAATCTCCTGGATTTGCTCCTACCATCCCCAAAATCCCCTGGATTTGCTCCTACCATCCCCAAAATCCCTGGATTTGCTCCTACCTATCCCCAAAGTCCCTGGATTTGCTCCCACCCCATGCTGGAGGCTCCTACCATCCCCTTGCCCCCTGTCCCTGCCGCTCCGGGCCGCGGGCGCGCACTCGGGGGACGGAGCGGAGGCGATGGCGGAGTCCGAGGAGTCGGAGGCGCCGGAGGAGCCGTCCTGGCCGCGGGCGCAGGGGCCGGAGCAGAAGAGGCGGCCGCGGTGGCAGGTGAGCGGCTGTCCCCGCAGCGGGGCCCGGCACAGGCTGCAGCACAGGCAGGAGGAGCGGGCGTGCCAGTGCAGCCCTTGGTGGGTGACCTGCTCGCTGTCCGCACCTGTGGGGCAAACACGGGTGAGGGAAAGGGTCTTCAAAATAAAATAAAGTAAAAAAAACAAAAACAAAAAAAACCCTACAAAACAAAGCAAAGAAAAAACCCACAGAAACCAACCAACCAGCCAACCAACCAAAAATGAAAAAAAAACCCAAAAACAAAACAAACCACAAAACCCCAAAAAAACCCCCAAAAAACCCAAACCAAAACAAAATACCAAAAACTACCGTGCCCCCCAAAAAACCCAAAAAACACCCAAAAAAACCCAAAAAAACCGCCCAAAAACCCCCAAAATAAACCCCCCAAAACAAAAAAACCCAAACCAACCCCCACAAAAAAAACCCCAAAAAGCAACAACAAAAAACCAAAGAAACAAACAAAAAAAATGCCAAAAACCCCTAAATAAACCCCAAAAAAAACCCAAAAAAAACCCCAAAAACAACCACCCAAAAGAAAACCCATAAAAACCCGAAACCCCCCAAAAATAAAAAATATTTTAAAAAATTAAAAAATTTTAAAAAACCAAAACCAACCAAACAAAAAAAACCAAACAAAAAAACCCCAACCAACCAAAAAAAAAAAAAAACCACAAAAAAAACCCAAAAAAACCCCAAACCAAACCAAAAAACCAAAAGCAACCCTCCAAAAAAACCAAAACACCCCAAAATCCATGCTCCAAAATCTGGGGGGCCCTCGTGGGGGTGGCGGCCGTACCGATGGGGTCCCCGCACGCCTGGCACGGCTCGGCGAAGAGGCTCTCGAAGCAGCCGCGGCAGCAGGGCCGCCCGCTGCGCATCACGTAGCGCTGCCCGCGCAGGGGCTCGTCGCACTCCAGGCAGCAGAAATGCTCCAGGTGCCAGCGCCGGCCCTCGGCCTCGATGCACTCCTCCATGAAGATCAGCTGGAACGGGAACGTGGTGGACAGGTAGGATTCGCGGTGACAAAATCGGAACGGTAATCGATATCGATACGGTAATTGATAAAAGAGTTAGGAGGTGTAATGCCAAGAAAGAAAGGGAGGGGATCCATCCCCCCCCACTTCCTGCAGATGTTCAAGGCCCTCGGCCTCGATGCACTCCTCCATGAAGATCAGCTGGAACGGGAACGTGGGAAATAGGTGTGAGAAAATTGAAACAGTAATCAATATTGATACGGTAATTGATAAAAGAGTTAGAAGGTGTAATGCCAAGAAAGAAAGAAAGGGAGAGGATCCATCCCCCCCTTTCCTGCAGATGTTCAAGGCCCTCGGCCTCGATGCACTCCTCCATGAAGATCAGCTGGAACGGGAACATGGTGGACAGGTAGGATTCACACTGAGAAAATTGGAACGGTAATCGATATCGATACGGTAATTGATAAAAGAGTTAGGAGGTGTAATGCCAAGAAAGAAAGGGAGAGGTTCCATCCCCCCCCTTTCCCGCAGATGTTCAAGGCCAGGAAAAAGCAGGAGATAACAGTTGCTAAAAATGAACAGAAAGAAGGGAAAATGTGGTTGGGTCCCAGGAAAATGTTAATTATATGAGATTTATTGCTTTGATGCTTAAATATAATATTATGTTCATTTTGGCTTGCATTATACTGGCTTGGTGTGCATGTGTAACCCAAGGGTGAGTTGAAGGACATCGAGGAAGAGGAGAGGCCTTCATCAAAAACGACCCCCAAAGACTTGTGCGAGCACCAGAACGAGTGGTGGAGCATGAGTGGTAAAGGTGGTGATGAGGGCGGAGGTAGAAGTGTGACAAACGGAAAATGGGAGGAGATGGCACTGACACATGGCAAATAAGGGGGGAATCTTCATTTGGCAAGCTCATACGTGAGGTGGCACGGGCCCAGAACCCTGCACCCCGTGGTTACCTTTTGCTCATGCGCTGTTATTGGAACCCAATTATCCCTCATTTTTAATATTGACAATTGTTTTCCTGTTGTTCAGTAACTAACGGATCTTAAAGCTTGCTTTCACTTCAATCTCGCTTATCGTTTCCATATTCTCAAAAATCTTTTGCCAGGCAATCCTATTGACAAGGCTTTCCTGTTTCACGCTCCCCAACAGGCGCCCACCTGGTCGCAGGAGGCGCAGCGGGGTCGGAAGAGCTCGGCGTGGTGCCGGCCGCAGTAGATCCTCCCATCCTGCTGGAAGTAGATGAGATCCACCAGCTGCTGGTGGCAGAAGTGGCAGGAGAAGCAGGACGGGTGCCAGAACTGGTCGCCCAGGCGAGACGCCGAAACCCCCGGGTCGCCTTTGTTCAGCCTCCGGCCGCACTGCAAGGCAGAAGGACACCAAGTGTGGGGCAGGGCTGGCTTTTGGGGACGAATCCCTGCCAGGGGGTGGCAGCTGGAGGGACGGCTCACCTTCCTGCAGGGACAGCCGTGGCAGGGCCCTGGCACGGGGCACGCCAGGCCCTGTCCCAGAGCCTCCTGTCGGCGGCGGGCGCTGAAGGCGCGGAGCTGGCGCCGCTCCTCCTCGGCGAGGCCGGGGCAGTAGCGCTCCTGTGGGGCACGGGGGTCAGGGCTGGGCTCTGCTGGGGCACCCCCATCCCATCGCCTCTTCTATCCAAAAACACTCCCAGCACGATTACACACACAGCCAAAACCTCCTTCCTAATCAGCCTGATCCCAACAGCAATCTACATCCACTCCGGAGCAGAAAGCCTCGCCTCCTTCTGGGAATGAAAGTTCATTATAAACTTCAAAATCCCCATCAGCCTGAAAATAGACTTCTACTCCCTTACCTTCTTCCCCATTGCACTATTCGTATCATGATCTATCCTACATATGGCCTCACACCCCTACATTACAAAATTTTTCACCTACCTACTATTCCTCCTAATCGCCATACTCATCCTCATCATCACCAAAAACCTATTTGTCCTATTCACTGGCTGAGAAGGAGTCGGAATCACATCCTTCCTTAGGAGTTTAGCTTTTATCTTTTCCAGACATTTGTAATCCTGTAATTCTTTAGTGGTAAACTCTAAACTTTAGTGTATAACTCTAAACTCCACACACAGTGTGAGCTGCTGCTTTCCCATTTTTACACAATTCCTCTCCAGGCCTGGGAATCAAACACCTCACTGGTCAGGCCCTGAGAGATGGGAACAAAAGGGAGTTGGGGGAACAAACTTGGAGTCAATGACTCCATTACCTGAAGCTGTAATTGGAAAATTAGCCCCCAATATACAAAAGCGTGAAAACCCCATGACCCGTGGTCCATTTTTGGGTGGGCTTCAGCTGCATTTAGGGCAGCTGAATAATGAATAAAACTGCTTTTTACTCCCTTAATTCGGCCTGGCCTCTGTTTTTGGGTAATGTCAGCACCAGGTGGGCCCGGGGAGGGGAGCAGCAGCCAGAGGAGGGGGTCTCACATCGCAGTCCTGGGGGGGCAGCTGCTGCAGGAGCGCTCTGGCGCGGAGCCGCGTCCGGTCACGGTCACAGCCCGGCTGGGGCGAGCACGGCGGCACCTTGGGGGAAACACCGAGTTCAGAGAGGGGTTAAAATGTGTTTAAAGGGCTGAAATGTGTGTCTAGCCCCGGAAACGGGGTGGGAAGCACCCACCTCGGGGGGCTCCAGGTACTCCTCCAGGGCACAGCCGGAGTCGCTGTCGGACGAGGCCGGGGGGAGGCCCCCGGTGGTGCCGCAGGGAGAGGGCTCGTCCTGCTGGGGCCATGCGGGGCTCGGCAGGGACATCAGCTGGGGACACAGAGAGAGACAGAGATATCAGACACGGGGCAGGGAGCAGGGATCCATCCCTGGACATAGATCCAGTGGCAGCAGGACAAGCAGCTCCTTGTCCCTCAGAGGGACCCTGGGCCATGCAGGGCTCGGCAGGGGGACACAGAGAGAGCCACAGGTGTCAGACACGGGGCAGGGATCCATCCCTGGACACGGATCCTGTGTCCCTGCGGCAGCAGGACAAGCAGCTCCTCATCCTTACAGGGACCTGGGGTACGTCCAGCTGGGACGATGCTCCAAGGCACCACGACCTTGAGATCTTCAGCTGAACCACTGCAGGGATCCAAGGGGTTTTTGGGGGGCTCCTTTCTCTCTGGGGGTTACAGCAAAACCACACTGAGGATACAGGCAGGCACTTGCTGAGCGGAATGGGATGGGATGGGATGGGATGGGATGGGATGGGATGGGATGGGATGGGGATGGGATGGGGATGGGATGGGATGAGGATGGGATGAGAATGGGATGGGGATGGGGATGGGATGGGGATGGGATGGGGATGGGGATGGGATGGGGATGGGATGGGGATGAAGCCAGGCAGGGGAGACCCCAAATGCCCAAACTCAAGCTGGAACAGGTTTTGAAAAACAACAACACCCACAGCAGGAGCTTTCCCCCGGCTGCCACAGCTAATCCCGGGTCTAGTGGCCCATCCCTGAGTGGGAGCAGACCGAGGTTGAGCCCAGCTCAGCGGAAAATGATTCCCTCCCTTCGGGCTGCCATTGTTCTGCCCAGGGCTGTCCCAGCCCACAGCACAGCCTGGCTCGGGGTCAGGCAGTGAAACCCATCCGGAGCCCTCCCCTCCTCCCCACGCGGGCTCTCTCCAGCACGGCGCTTCCTTCCTGTCCCGGCTTCCCAAAACAAAGGCCAGATGCTGATGCGGTGGCTCCTGGGGCTCCCTGGATGCCAGCCCAGAGCCTGACGCCCTCAGCCCACACTTCCTGCCGTGCCATGGGGAGCCAGGGTGGGATGGAGGGGAAAATCACGGGGCTGTGACCAAACACAGCCAGGGGTCCACCCCTGCAACGCCCACCACGGATGCATCAACCCCCCTGGAAAATGTTCCACGCACAAAACAGTCTCAGGGATGAGGGGTGAGAGCCCCCAGACCAGGAAATCTTGGTCTTTCTCTACCTCTGCCACCACCGGGATCCATTCCCTGCTCCACACTGGGATGGTGCTGGTGTGTCCCCCCTGCCAGGGACACCCCAGTGTCCCCAGTGCTCCCACAAACAGCACCTGGGGCTGCCGGGATGTGGCAGGGGCAGCTCCGGGGCCGGCAGCAGGTGGGATCAGCTCAGGTTTCCCTGCCCTGCTGCCGGGTCAATGATTAACACATCGGCTAATCAGCGAGATAAAACAAAAGGGCTGCTGGCTTTTTCCTGCCATTTGGGGTCTGGAAGCCTGGGGAGATGCAGGGCTGGTTGTAGGGTGCTGTTCAAAGCTGTGCTTTGGGATAGGGAGGAAATAATCTGGTTTGACTGGGTGTTTGCTGCCCAAAAAAATGCCCCGGCCTTGCTGGCTTGGTGAGGGACCAGGGCTGGGCCAGGGAGACCCTGGGGTGCCGAGTGGGGACCGTCGTGTCCAGCCCAGCTCTGCTGCTGCCTGGTTTGGGAAATGTCCCCATTTCTCCCTCCCGTGGGATGTGGGGGCACACCCAGGCCGAGCTCATTAAGCCTCCAAGCTGCATTTGTGTAATCTCTTGGAACTTTGCTGTTAATTGGACCCCTGCGATGCCCGGGGCACTCGGGGGCGTTGCAGTGCCAGCCTGGCCCCATTCCCGAGGGGTGGCCGTGCCAGCCTGGCCCCATCCCCCAGAGCCACAGGGACCCCATGGCAGGGCCACCAGCACGGTGGGGTGACACCGGCGTGGGGAGGGCGGCTTGGGCAGGGCGGGGAGCGCAGCCCAGCCCGGTTTGATGTGATTACCCCGGCTGGCAGCCGTCTGGGCTGTAAACGAGTCCCTGTAATTAGCCCCAGACGGTGACAGAGGTACGCGCCTCCCATGCTAAAGAGCCAGGCAGCCCCAACAGGTCCGGCTCCTCCGCTGCCCAGCCCCGTCCCCTCTTCCTTCCTGTCCTCCCTCGCTGCCCGCGGGCTCTGCCCTGCCCTGCCCTGCCCGGGGATGCGGGGATGCTCCCAGCCTGCAGGAGGTGGCACCGCGGTGGCACTTTGGGGTGGCCTGTCCCTGCCAGCGAGTCCCCGAGAGGGGACGTGCGACAGACCCGTCGAGCAGGCTGGGTGGCACCTGGCTGTCATTTGCCTTGGCTGCAAACCCTCCCTGCTGCCCGCGGGAGCTGCTCCGGATGCGTTTGCCCGAGCTCCTCTCTCGCTCTCCCCAAAGCATCGGAAGCCGTCGCGGCTCCCTGGGCGCAAGAGGCTGAAATTCCTGGGAATGTTAATCGGGGCTGAAATTCCTGGGAATGTTAATCGGCTTTGGCTCGGCGGGAGCAGCCCCCGTCTCCAGCTGGCTGTGGGAGCCCGTGCGGGCTCTGCTGCCAAGGTCACACATTAACTTGGAGCCCGGCCACGCCAGCCTGCTCGGAATTCAGCGCGGGCTCCGCGTTCCCAGCCCGCACAGGGAGCCGCATCCCATCCCTGCAGAGTCCCCAGGGAGACACAACAACTCCAAAAAACCCCTCAAAGCAGCGCTGGCAGCTCCCAGGGGCACGGATCCACGCTGGCCTCACCCACGGGATAAGCTGTTTGTGCTTGAGCTGCCGTCAACACAGCTGCAGGAGCAGGAACAGAGATGCAGAGGAATAAAATGCAGAGGAATAAAGGTGCAGAGAATAAAAGGTGCAGAGGAATAAAGGTGCAGAGAAATGAAGATGCAGAGAAATGAAGATGCAGAGAAATAAAGGTGCAGAGCAACAAAAATTCATAACAACAAAGATTCATAACAACAAAGATGCAGAAAAATAAAGATGCATAACAACAAAGATGCAGAGCAATAAAGATGCATCTTTTGGGGTGAGATAAGCTGAGGTCTGGCAGGGAGAGCAGGAGCAGCCAGTCCTGCCCGACCTGGAGCCGGTCCCACCGAGGAGCCCACGGTGCCTTTTTGGAGCTGGGGTGGCACCAGCTGGAGCAGCCCTTGGTGCCACTGCTGGGCACAGCAGAGTCGTGGCCCTCGCTTTAAAAACGCCTTTGCAGCCCCCCCAGATGACGAGGGAGGGTCTCAGCATCTGCTCTGCCACACAGCACGGTGGCACCAGAGGGGACCGCGGCCTGTTGGCTCACCAGGGATGTGCCAGCGCTGCCAAAGGCTTTTCCTGTGTTTTCCCGCAGGCACGGCAGGAGCAGTAATCCATTAACCCATTAACCCACCCTGGCTCGCCCATTCGTGCACCCGCAGGTACGGACCGAGACCCTCCGCCCCTCCTCTCCCTGTGACCACCAGAACGGAGCCCCCCACCCCTCCCTGGGCCACCAGGCTTCGCCCCCGCAGGTCCAAGGGTTCCAGCTCCATCCCCAATCCCGACTGATCCCGTTCCCGGCCGATCCCAGCAGGGATGGTGGCACCAGCGCTGCCCTCGCACCTGGCAGAGCCTGGCACGACGGGACGCGCGTCCCCTCCTGCTCTCAGGGGACAATTCCCGAAAACAAAGACAGCGATGTTATCTCCTCCCGGAAAATCTCGGAACAGCCCAAATCCCCCTGCTCTGCCCCATCCCCTTCCCCTCGCAGGACCCTCCTGCGGCCCCCCGCTCTCAATGTCCCGGGATTCCTTTCCAGCCCCACGAACCTGCCCTGTCCCGGGATTCTCCCCCATCCCCACATACCTGCCCTGTCCCGGGATTCCTTTCCAACCCCACGAACCTGCCCTGTCCCGGGATTCCCTCCCAGCCTCACGAACCTGCCTTATCCCGGGATTCCGTGATTCCCTCCCAGCCCCACGTACCTGCCTTGTCCCGGGATTCCTTTCCAGCCCCACGTACCTGCCCTGTCCCGGGATTTCGGGATTCCCTCCCATCCCCACGTACCTGCCCTGTCCCGGGATTCCCTCCCAGCCCCACGTACCTGCCCTGTGCCGGCGCTCCGGGCCCCGCTCGCCGCCGCTCCGGGCTCGGCCGCCCGCTCCAGCCCCGCCGTCCCGCCCTGCTCCGGAGCACGCCAGGGAATGGAGCCCGGGCTGCGAAAACTCCGCAAAGCGAAAGGAAAACATCCAAGCTCAGCCAGGGAAACACTTTTTTTTTCCGGTTTTTTTTTTCCCTTTCTTTCCTCTCTCTCTATTTTTTCCCCCCCTGCCTGCCCAGGCACTGGCTCCGCGGCTGCCGGGGTCCTAATTAGAGGCTTTTTAGCCTAAACCTCGGGAGGCAGCCAATGGCTGGAATTCCAGGGCAGGCAGGGAGGGGAAAAGGGGGGGGGACATTAACCCTACAGGGGAAGGAGCTGCCGATGACATCTGGCTCGCTCCTACCTCTCATTTTCCGAGCGCCCGCGCCCTTCCCTCCATCTGCGGCTCGGTTCACCCCGGGTTGCCGTTTGATGGCTTTTTATGATTTATTTCCCTGCCGAGATCACAAAGAGCCGAAGCTTCATGAAAGAGGGGGAAGTGTCATTACACCCCAATTGGGAGGTGGAGAAACCTCGGCTGGGCTCTCACAAAGGAGTTAGCCAGCGGCAAGTCAGGGTGTCCCAGTTTCCACAAGCCCCGCGCACCTGACGAGGCTCCTCCAGACTGCAGCGATTCCACCCAGGCAGGAGCCAGGGGGAAAAACTGATCAGAGCACAGCGTCCTGCTGGTGCTCCCGTGCATTTCTCACCGCGCTGTAAGATTTTCCTGCCCGCCGATGATGTGGTTTTGAGGGTGAGAATCGACGCAGCGTCCCCCAAAACTCCCCCAAACCCGCAGGGACCAGGCTGGATCTCTGCCACCTGCGCGGTCCCGGGAGCTGGGGCTGGTTTGGGGAGGCCTGAGGGGTGCAGATGGCTGGTGTTGGTGCTGGCATCAGGGCTGGGAGCGCAGCAGGGGTGGTGGTTTGGCACGGGAGGTGCCAGGCTCCGTGACAGTGCCCGTGGCACTGCTGGGTGAGGCCGGGCAGGGCGGTGCTGGGCACAGCTCGTGGTGCTGCTTTGTGGAAGTGGTTGCCCCATGCCAAGGTCAGGCTGGATGGGGTTTGGGATGCCTCCTTAGGATTTTAGCTTTTATCTTTTCCATGCATTTATAATCCTGTGACTCTTAAGTGCATAACTCTAAACTCCACACACAGTGTGAGCTGCTGCTTTCCCATTTTGACACAACAATTCCTCTCCAGGCCTGGGAATCAACAGCACCTCACCACCCTGAGAGATGGAAAAAAACCTGATTTATTTAGGGGGAGCAAACTTGAGGTCAATGACTTCATGACCTGAAGCTGTAATTGGAAAATTAACCGCCAATATGCAAATGGCCCAAACTTATAAAAGTGTGAAACCCCGTGACTCGTGGTCCATTTTTGGGTGGGCTTCAGCTGCCCTAAATGCACCTGAAGGCCCTTCAATAAATAAATAAATAAATAAATAAATAAATAATCTATCTGCTCTTTATTTTCCTTATTTTATTTGAGCTCTGTTTTTAGGTAGCCTGGACGAGGAGCAACCTGGGACAGTGGAAATTGCCCCCTTTACAAAGGGATTTTTAAAGTCCCTTCCAACCCAAACCATTTGAGGATCCTCTGCACAATCCCCTGAGCAGGAGGAGGAAGAGGAGGAGGAGGAGGAAGCACCTCCATGCTGCTCTGCCCCCCTCTGCAGGGGTCCCTGTGAGGTCCCCAATGTCCCCACGCTGTTATTCTGCTCCCTGCACCTTTATCTCGGCCCCGGTGCCGTTGGACTTTGTCCCCGCGGGTGGTGGCACAGCCCCCCCTCGTCCCCTGCTGCCCCCACGCTCCTCCATCCGAACCCAGGGAGGAAAAATTCCCGGGCAAAGTCCTCGCTGGGCGCGGGGAGGGGGACAGAGGGGTCACCGGGGCTCTCCTGGGTCCCCTCGAAGGGCAGGACACGGCTCGGTGGCTCCGTGTGGCCGCAGTGTCCCCAGAGAGGGCGGGACACGCTTGGTGGCGCTGGGATGAGGAGATGGCAGCTCCCCCGATGCCCCTCTAGAGTCTCCGTCTACTCCAGACCCCCCAAATCCCCCTCCAGGGACCCCCGAGGGCATCCTTCCATCCCAGACCCCCCCAAATCCCCTTCCAGTGATCCCCCTCCAGCAACCCCCAAACCCAGACCCCCAAATCCTCCTGTGATGCCCCTCTCCTTCCCCAGACCCCCAAGTCCTCTCACTGACCCCCAAATCCCCTTTTCCAGACCCCCAACCTCTCTTAGTGATCCCCCAAACCCTCTGTGATCCCCCAAACCCTCCGCTGACCGCTCCAAACCCTTTGTGACAACCCCAAACCCTCAACTGACCCCCTAAACCCTCCACTGACCCCCAAACTCTCCCCAGACCCCCAAATCCCCTTCCCCAGACCCCCCAAAACCTCCACCGACCCCCAAACGCTCTCAGTGACCCCCCAAACCTTCCCCAGACCCCCAAACCCTCTCACTGACCCCCAGATCCCCTTCCCCAGACCCCCAAACCCTCCACTGGCCCCCAAACCTTCTCACTGACCCCAAAATCCTCCACTGACCCCCCCCAAACCCTCCCCAGACCCCCAAAACCTTTCCACTGATCCTCCTCAGATCCTCACCTTCCCCAGACCCCCCCAAAATCCTCCCGGGACCCCCAAACCCCCCCGTCCATCATCTCTACCCAGACCACGCCCACCAGACCACGCCCGCCCACGCTCCGCCCACCCGGCCCCGCCCCCTCGGCGCGGTCGCGCCCCCCTGGCGCCCCCTGGCGGCCGCGCGGCGCTGTCGCGGTGTCGCTGCTCCGGCGGGCCCGGCCCGGCCCCGATCGCTCCGGGCCCCACCGGGGACCCCCGGACCCGCCGGGCCGGGCAGGGCCAGGGCCGGGCCGGGGGCCCCGACACGCTGCGGGCCCCGGGAAGGGCCGGGCCGGGGGCTCCGGGCCGCAGGTCCCGGACGGCGGAGCCGGGAGCGCCTCAGGTACCGAGCAGCGCCCGGAGCGAGCGGGGCCGCGGCATCGCCCCCGTCCCCTCCCCTCGTGCCCTCCCCGGGCTGCCCCCGCCGCTCCTCGCAGCCAATTCCCCGGGAGACCCCCGGGACTCGCCCCTTCTTCCTCAGGGCCCTCGTTCCCACGGGCTCTGCAGGCCCGTCCTTCTCCCTCCATCATTTTCCCCATCCCTCCATCCCCTTCCTTCTCCCTCCATCCCCTTCCTTCTCCCTTCATCCCCATCCCTCCATCCCCTTCCTCATCCGTCCATCCCCTTCCTCATCCCTCCATCCTTTTCCTCATCCCTTCATCCCCATCCCTCCATCCCCTTCCTCATCTCTCCGTCCCCTTCTCCCTCCCTGCAGCCCCTCCTCAATCCCCCATCCCTCTCCTCTTTCCCCCATCCCCTTTTTGCCCCTCCTGTCCCCAGAGCTGTCCCCCTGCTCCCTCCTTTTCCCGGCTCTGTCCCTGCGTGTCCTGGAGGGGCTGGGGTGGGTCCAGGTGCTTTTCCACACGAGCTGTCCGTCTGTCCCCCGTCTGTCTGTGTCAGGGAGCCCCCCTGAGCCTTTGGGATTACGGGAACCTTCTCCAGCTCTGGCTTTGAGGAGGGTGAAGGCACGAGGGGGGTTTGGGAGAATGGGAACAAGCTGGGAATTTGGGAGAGGCTGCTCCAGGCAGGGCTGAGGAGGGTTTGGGTTGGGGTGTGGGTGTCTGGATGGGGCTGGTGGCCTTAGGAGGGACCCAGCCCTGCTGTGGGGACCCTGCCGGGGTGGTTTTGGGGCCTGGCTGGGCTCTGAACTGGCAAACAGGGCTGGGGAGGAGAGCTGGAAGTGCAGAGCAGGAGCCTGGGGAGTTGGGAATCTCTGTGGACGGGATGCTGCTGAAATATTCACCTGTGAGGAGCAGGGGGAAGCACCCGGGGGGTGCTCAGGGAGCTCCTGGTGGGTTTTTAGTTCATTTGTTCTGTTTTCAGTGTAAAAACTGCCCTTGGTAAGCCACAGCACTTCAGGCTGACCCCTCACAGATGGAGGTGGAGGGAGAGGAGTGAAGAAAGAAAAGGCAGAATGTTTTCTCCTTGCTGTTATTCCTGAGGGAGTTGCTGGGGTGGGAGTGGGAGAGCCCAGGCAGAGAGGAGCCAGCCCCCAGCGCCCAGATGAGCTGGAGCAGGATCTGTGCTAAATTCCTGTGAGGGAATAAATAAATAAATCCCTCAGCTGGCTGGGGCAGGGTGTGGGGTGGCACAGGGGAAGGGCTGGTGCTGCTCTAGGGCTGGCAGGTGTGTGCAGGAGGGCGCCTGGCACCGCCTTTGTTTGTTCTCAGCTCGCACAGAAAGAAACTTTTCCTCTCTCCTGGGCACTTGGCAGGGCGTGGGGCACGGTGGGGAATTCTGCAAGGGCCGAGAGGTGCAGTGGGAGGTGATTTATGGAGCTGGTTTTGGTATGCAGAATTGGAATGGGACCCTTGGGCAGCTCTGCCACTCGGTGAGCTGTGGGTTCATTGGGAGGAGGAGGGGGAGGCAGGGACTTGAAATGGAAAGAGATTTCCAATGGGAAGAGATTTCCAATGGAAAGAGGTTTCCAATGGGAAGAGGTTTCCAATGGGAAGAGGTTTCCAATGGGAAGAGGGTCCCAATGGAAAGAGGGTCCCAATGGAAGATGTTTCCAATGGGAAAAAGTTTGCAATAAAAAGAGGTTCCAAGGGAAAGAGGGTTTCAAATGGAAAGAGGGTCGCAATGGAAAAAAGTTTCCAATGAAAGAGGTTTCCAGTAGAAAGAGGTTCCCAATGGAAAGACATTTACAATGGAAGGAGGTTTCCAATGGAAGGAGGTTCCCCATGGAAAGAGGCTCCCAATTGGAAGGAGATTTCCAATGGGAAGAGGTTTCCCAATGAAAAAAAGTTTCCAATGAAAGAGGTTTCCAGTAGAAAGAGGCTCCCAGTGGAAGGAGGTTCCCAAATGGAAAGAGGTTCCTAATGGGAAAAGGTTTCCAATGGAAAGATATTCCCAATGGAAAGAGATTCCCAATGGAAAGAGATTTCCAATGGAAAGAGATTTCCAATGGAAGGAGATTCCCAATGGAAGGAGGTTTCCAATGGAAGGAGGTCCCAAATTGCCATTTCCTGCCCTGGTGCCAGGCTGGGGATCCTGGTGGATCAGGTGGGGACACTGAGCTGCTCTCAGGGCACATCTGGCATCATCCCCTGTCACCTGCCCAAGTTCCCATCAGGGACAGCAGAATTTCCCATTTCTCACTACAATTAAAAAAAAACAAAAAACAAACAAAACCACAGGAGTGTTCCTCACTGCCTCCTCCCTGCCTGATCCTTGCACTGACCGGGTCAGATATCAGAATTTTGGTGTTTTCTGGGTCAGATATCAGAGTTTTCTGTGTTTTCTGGTTAGTTTTTTTTTTCTTCTCCTCCTCCAAAGCAGAGCAGCTGCTGTTCTCTGACCCTGAAGGACCTTCCCTGCTCTGAAGGCACCTTCACATTCCTCAGCAGCAGCAGCTGCCTCACCACCCCTGGCTGCTCACTTTTATTTCCTTCACCCTGCTAAACCCCACTCCTCTCTAAGATCCCAAAGCCAAGAAATAAAATTATCTCCTATTTAAATTTTTTAAAAAATTATTTTTAGCTGTGTATTTTTCATTGCTGCGCAGAGTTTTCTGTGTTGGTATAAATGTAATTAATTCAACACAAAATGCTCCTGCTTTCCCTGGGTTGTCTGAAGGGAAGTTCAGTCACTCTCCCACCCCCTGCTTTTTAATTTTCTCTGCTTTTATCATTGTTTAATTGTGTTCTCCTTGCCAGGTGGAAGATGGGATGTTTTAGGTGAAACCTGCTTGCCATGAAATCCCGAGGGAGATAGAGGGACTGCAGTGGGAACTCCTTCTCACTCCTCCACAACAAATCCAACAGCTGCCTGATGGTAAGAATTGGTTTTAATTAACATTTGTGGCATTAATCAAGGAGCAGAGCAAAGAGTTGGAGCTCCAGCCCCGCTGGGACGGGGAGGGCACAGCTGGAGAGGTGGGTTTGGGATTTGGGATTTGGGATCTGATTGTGCCGCCTTTTGTGTCCTGTCCCCAGGGATTTCCTCTCTGCCTGGCGTCATGGGGAGCTGCTGCAGCTGTCTGTGCCCAGACAGCATCCCAGACAACCATCCCACCAAATTCAAGGTAAATTTTTGCCCTTCCAACCCCACCAGAGGGTCTGGGACATCTCAGGGGAGAGCAAACTCCTGCGCACCAACATCCCTCCGGAGGATTTGCAAATTCAGCACTTCTGGTTTGGGGGTTTTTTGTTTTATTTTTCCCCCTTTTCCTTAAGAAACTCCTGCTGAAAACGTGTTTGTGTTTGCTGCTAAACTGCCTCTGCCTGGGAAATGCAAGGAAATGGGGGGAGCGGAGAGAAAAACCTTTTATTGCTCAGGGCTGTGCTCCAGACAGAGCAGCCGAGCTGCCAAGGGCTGCCAGCTCCTGCCAGCCACGGATCCCTGCTGGCAGCTGGGGAAAAGGCAGCAGGAAATGGGGGAAATCCGTGGAATTGCAGGAAATGGGGGAAATCCATGGAATTGCAGTGCTTGGAGCTGCCCAGGGACACCTGGGGGCCCTGTCCAGCTCTGGGTGCTCAGAGCATGGGGGATGTGGAGGGGCTGGAGGGAAGGGAATGGGGCTGGAGCACCTGGAGAAGGGTCTGGAGAGTCCTGAGGGAGCTGGGAAGGGGCTGAGCCTGGAGAAAAGGAGGTTTAGGGACAATTTGGGGTCTTATCGCAGGGAGCAGGGACAGGAGGAGAGGGAACGGCCTCAGGCTGGGCTGGGGGGGTCAGCAATGATGAGAGAGACAGGGAGGCTCTGAGAGATGGTCAGAAGAATCTGAATTTATTGTGGACTAAAAATCCAAATTTATTGTGGACTAAAAATCCAAATTTATTGTGGACTACCTATGCTCATATACTATTTTGGGAAGGCTAGAAATGTTTTACTACAATGATTGGGTTAATCATCACATAAACAAAATTTAGTATTTTACAACATCTCTCGCTTGCAGAGATCTTGGTGTAATTTTCTTATCCAGTAAGTCAGCTTGGTTTAATATTCTTGCAATCTTCAAAGCTGTTTGTTCTTGCCAAGGCATCCTGATTATTAAATCTCTTATGGTGACCAGGTCCAAAGTGTTGTGTGTGTCCCAAAAAGGGGAGGTTTGGGCTGGAAAGCAGCAGGAGTTTCCTCATGGAAAGGGTGGTCATGCCGCCTTGGAAGTGCCCAGGGAGTTCCCCACAACTTTCCCAATCATTGTTCTTGGGAAAGGCTGTTGAGAAGATCAGAAAAAAGGATGAAAAACAATTCTGATGTTAACTTATCCACCTGTTACCGTGAACACGCGGAGTGCGTTACGGAGATGACAAAAGGGTGGTTTGTTAACCAACCAAGGTTAATTTGTTAATGACCACTGGTGTCCCTGCAGGTGACCAACGTGGACGACGAGGGGCACGAGCTGGGCTCGGGGGTGATGGAGCTGACGCGGCGGGAGCTGATCCTGCACTCGCACAAGCGCGACGCCGTGCGGTGGCCGTACCTGAGCCTGCGGCGCTACGGCTTCGACTCCAACCTGTTCTCCTTCGAGAGCGGCCGCCGCTGCCACACCGGCCAGGGTCAGTGCCAGGGGGGCTCCCTGGGGACAGGGACAGTGCCCAAAGGGACAGGGACAGGGCAGGGACAGGACAGGGACAGGGGCTGCGACAGGGGGGCTTCGACTCCAACCTGTTCTCCTTCGAGAGCGGCCGCCGCTGCCACACCGGCCAGGGTCAGTGCTGGGACAGGGCAGGGACAGGGACAGGGACAGGAACAGTGCCTGGGAGACTGGGACAGTGCCAGGGGGGCTCCCTGGGGACAGGGACAGTGCCTGGGGCAGTGCCTGGGACAGGGACGGGGACAGGGCAGGGACAGGCAGGCTTTGACTCCAACCTGTTCTCCTTTGAGAGTGGCCGCCGCTGCCACACTGGACAGGGTCAGTGGTGGGACAGGACAGGGACAGGGACAGTGCCGGGGGGACAGGGACAGGGCCTGGGGGCTCCCTGGGGACAGGGACGGTGCCAGGGGGAACAGGAACAGTGACAGGGACAGTGCCTGGGGGGCTCTGACTCCAACCTGTTCTCCTTCGAGAGCGGCTGCTGCTGTCACACAGGGCAGGCTCAGTGCTGGGACAGGGACAGGGCAATGCCTTGGGACAGGGACAGGGGAAGTGGCAGTGCCTGGCCAGGGTCAATGCTCCGGCCAGGGGCAGGGCCTGGGGGCTCCCTGGGGCTGGATCAGTGCCTGAGGGGCTCCCTGGGGGCAGCAATGCTGAGATTTCTCTCCTTGATGCCTAGAGAGGCTACCTAGACAGAGTTAAAGGAATAAGATAGGGATTTGTTAAAACACAGTGACAGTGACCTCTATTTATTAAAATATAGTGACAGAGCTGCTGGGGAAGGGCTGTCCCTGTCCCCTCACCTTGTTCCCCGTGGTGCCCAAGGTGAATCTTCAAGGATACAGCACAAGAGCCTTGGCTCCATCCAACATGGACTCAGAGTCATGAGTTTTCACACTTTTATAAGTTTTGCTCCATTTCCCTATTGGGGTTAATTGTCCAGCTCCAGGTTGTGCAGTCCCATCCTCCCAGTTTGCTCTCCTCAGTTTGCTCAGAGCTTTGATTTTGGAGCTCTGTGACAGAGGAAAAGGTTTCCCAGCACGTTTCCCTGATGCTGAGAGCATGGAGAGGGAAGTGACTCACCCAGGAGCTGGTGCCAAGTCACAGCAGCACTGGGAATAGTCTGGGAATTGAGGAATCACAGTTTTACACTGGTGCCTCCTGGTTCCTTCACCAGTCTGCCTCCGATGCTTTTTAAAAGAGCTGAACATTTCCTTGGCATCTGCATCCCCTGGGAGAGAAGCAAAAGTTGTTTCCTTGTTCTGTTCATGTGTTTGTAAACTCCAAAAGGGCTCCCGTGAGCGCTCAGGGTCTGTGTGAATCTGCACTGGCATCTGCTGCTCTTTAATGTTTATTTCAGTGGGGTTTTCCTCTCCCGTCAGGGAATTTGTCCTTTGGTTTCTGCTTTGCCTTTTGCAGTGGTGAAAATTTAATCCAGGGATAAAAGTTCTGACCTCTGCGTGGTTTGGTTCTGTGCAGGCCCAGGCAGAGGGGATGAAGCAGAGCCCTCACATCCTGCAGAGTTTTTATCAGGCAGAAATGAGAGGGGTGATGTGTTTTGTTGAATTTTCTCCCTTCCTTGTAGGATTTTATCCTGCTTATTAATTCTACCTGGAGCCCTCCTTGCTGATGCTGCTCCCCACCTGATGCAAGGCAGATCCAGCTGGGTTTTTTAGTGGAAAATGAGGGTGTTTGGGAGCAGCCCTTGTTGCCAGGCTGCTCCTGTTGCCATGGCTGTGCTGTGTGTGTGTGTGCCAGCCTGGGATTGGCTCCTGGGCTGGGCTGCTCCTTCAATCCCAGAGATTTTTAAAAGACATTTTTATTTTATTTTATTTTATTTTTTATATTTTATTTTATTTTATTTCATTTTAAATTTTATTTTATCTTCTATTTTACTTTATATTTTATTTTATTTTATTTCATTTCATTTTTTATTTTATTTTATTTTTTATTTTACTTTCTATTTTATTTTATTTTATTTTATTTTTTATATTTTATTTTATTTTATTTCATTTTTTATTTTATTTTATCTTTTATTTTACTTTATATTTTATTTTATTTTATTTCATTTAATTTCATTTTTTATTTTATTTTATTTTTTATTTTACTTTATATTTTATTTTATTTTATTTTTTATTTTATTTTACTTTTTTATTTTATTTTATTTTATTTTATTTTATTTTATTTTACATTTCCATCCCTCCCTCCCGTGCACGGGGCCCAGCCCAGCTTTGAGGAGTCACTGCCTGGATTTTCCCCTGGAAAAGGATGGAGCGGGTTCAATAGGAGAGGGGAGCGGCTCACCTGGCCCCCCACACCTGTGTGGGGTGAGATTCTCTGCACTGAGGGGGTTTAAAGCCAGCCTGGGCTTGTGGCAGGTTGGGAGTGGAACTGGATGATCTTTAAGGTCTCTCCCAACCCAAACCATTCTGTTTTCCATTATTTCTGCTGTTATTTCCTGAATTATCCACAGGGTTCTTGGTTGTGGCTTGATGGCGTTAAACAACAGCAGAATAAATCAGAATTCATTTAGAAATGGGAACAACACATCTTTTTAAATTTTTAATTTTTTTTTTTAAATATTTTAAAATATTTTTAAAGCGGGATGATTTCCTTGCTGTTCTCACCCTCCTCTCTGTCCCTGGCAGGGATTTTTGCCTTCAAGTGCTCCAGAGCAGAGGAGATCTTCAACCTGCTGCAGGACCTGATGCAGTGCAACAGCATCAACGTGGTGGAGGAGCCCATGGTGGTCACCAGGAGCAGCCACCCCTCGGAGGGGGAGCTGGCCCACAGCCCCCAGGGCCCCACCAGTAAGGGACGGCACAGGGACACGGGGCTGGGCTGTGTCTTGGTTTGGAAAGTCTGCTAAGAAAGGCAGGAACCTGCCTTGAAATGGAGAATTTAAACCCCCTCCCTCCTAATAATTGTAATTTTGAAATGAAGGGGTTCTCAAGGAAAAATGTGTGATAGGAATAACAGTTATTAGGGAAAAAAAATTAAAGTAAAAGTGCAGTGATACAAAGGAACCCTGACAGAATCAAAGCAGGAGCTGGGTGGTGGCACAGTCCCATTCCACGGTGGCAAGGGGACAGCACAGGGACACGGGGCTGGGCTGTGTCTTGGTTTGGAAAGTCTGCTAAGAAAGGCAGGAACCTGCCTTGAAATGGAGAATTTAAACCCCCTCCCTCCTAATAATTGTAATTTTGAAATGAAGGGGTTCTCAAGGGAAGATGTGTGATAGGAATAACAGTTCTTTGTTGGGGATAAAAATAAAAAGAAAATAAAAATGCAGTAATACAAAGCAACCCTGACAGAGTCAGAAGAGGAGCGACCCCATGTGGGTCAGGGTGGTGGCACAGTCCCATTCCACGGTGGCAAGGGGACAGCACAGGGACACGGGGCTGGGCTGTGTCTTGGTTTGGAAAGTCTGCTAAGGAAGGCAGGAACCTGCCTTGAAATGGAGAATTTAAACCCCCTCCCTCCTGATAATTTTAATTTTGAAATTAAGGGGTTCTCAAAGGAAGATGTGTGATAGGAATAACAGTTCTTTGTTAGGGAAAAAAAGAAAAATAAAATAAATTAATTATAATCCCTCCTGATTATTGAAGTCAAGGGGTTCTCAGGGGAAGACATGGGAGGAGGAATAACAGTTTTTTATTAGGGAAAAAATAAAAATAAAAATAAAATAAAAATGCAGTCATACAAAGCAACCCTGGCAGTCAGAATATGGCCTGTCACTCTGTAGGCCAGGGTGGTGGCACAGTCCCATTCCTTGGTGGTGGCACAGTCCCATTCCATGAGGCTCAGTCCTCCTGCAGTGCCAGATGTGGTTCTGCTGGAGCATTGGAATGGCTCAATTCCTGTCTCCATGTGGAATTCTTTAGATTTAAAGGAGGGCCTGGCCCTGGGATGGCCCCTGCACAGGCTGGTTTTACCTTCCAGGGTATCCACAAGAGCCCAGCTCCCTCTGAAAGTGTAACAATTCCATTTTGTACCAATGTAATGCTCCTCTGCCTTGATTCCCTCACAGGTCTGGGCTACACTGGGCTTCCCAATGGATTTCACGGCTTCCCTGGAGAATCCCTGTCCTGCTCTGCAGCCCAGCAGCCCTCAGTGAGCAGCCTGAGACATTCCTCTGTGGGGGAAGACTCTACGCACCCTCTCCTGGGGCCTGAGGAGCAGGTAAACCCATCCTCAGCTCTGCTGGCTGCAGTTCTGGGTTTCCCTCACCCAAAGCTCAGGGGATCCTCACACCTTGTCCCTCTTTTTATTCTCTTCATTTCATTTTGCTCCTGGTGGCTCCTGCTCTTTGATGCTTCACTAGAACTGGTGTTCTGTCAAAAAAATCTGAGTTTTATCCTCAACTCATTGGTATTTGGGTGGCAGTGACCTGCCAGCTGTCACACAAACACATAAATTCAGACTTAGGAGGCTTGATTTATTATTTTGTGATCTATATTATATTAAAACTATACTAAAAGCATAGAAGAAAGGATTTTATTAGAAGGTTAGCTAAGAATTGAAAAAGAATGATAGCAAAGGCTTGTGACTCACTGAGACAGTCTGGACAGCTGGACTGTGATTGGCTATTAATTAGAAATAATTAATATGGACTAATCAAAGATGCACTTGTTGCATTCTACAGCAGTAGATAATTATTGTTTACATTTTGTTTCTGAGGCTTCTCAGGAAAGGATTTTTCATAAAACATGTCTGTGGCGGGGAAATTCCTGCAGCTGTCCATCCATGAGGACACACAGTGAGATTGTGCAGCTGCGCTCTCATCCCAGCCCACAAAACCCAAACCAGCTTCTACATTTTACCTCCCAAAACCTCCCCAACTTCCAAAATCCTTTCTCCTCTGAGGAATCCCCCCTCTCCTGGCGGTTTCTCTGCTGCTTTGCTCTGGCCTGTGCTGTCTCCTCCTTTCACTGTCCCTCTGCTTCTCTCTCCTTGCAGTCCCACACCTACGTCAACACCGGCGAGCCGGAGCCGAGGGGCCGCCACTGTTTGCACCCCCTGCCTGAAGCCCACCCTCCTTTCCCCCCTAGGAACCACAGCTGCTCCCTGGAAGACCGAAACCCCCAGGTCTTCCTGCAGCCAGGGGAGGTGAAATTCGTGCTGGCTCCCACCTCGGGTTACCGCCGGCTGTGCCGGCAGCCCCGGCCGTGCCGGCCTCACCTCTGCGCCCCCAACAACAACAACAACGAGTGCCAGCAGGGCTGTCCGTCCCCACAGTGTGTCTACGAGAACCTCAACGGGCTGGTGGCCCCCAGCAGCTCGTCCCTGTGCCGGGCTGGCCGCTCCAAGGCGTCCCGGGAGGACGGCAGCTGCTCCCAGCGCCGCTCGGCGCTGCTGCACTACGAGAACCTGCCGGCGCTGCCGCCGGTGTGGGAGCTGCAGCCGGCCCAGCACGGGGATGAGGACGCTGGCATGGCACCCACGCCGTCCCCAAACGGCTTCTCTGAGGCTGGGGAGGAGGAGCCCCTGCAGAACCCCGCGGGCTCGGAGCCGCGCCGCGCTTTCCTGCCCAGGCCCCGGCGCAGCCGCCTGCCCAACGTCTTCAGCTTCGACTTCCCCCGGCCCTGCCCGGAGCCGCCACGGCAGCTCAACTACATCCAGGTGGAGCTGGAGCCCGAGGCCTGCAAGGGACAGCAGGAGCCCAGGGTGGCGGCCCCTGGCAGCCCCGGTGCCCGCCGCACCGACTCCTACGCCGTCATCGACCTCAAGAAGACGGCGGCCATGTCCAGCCTGCAGCGGGCCCTGCCCAGGGACGATGGCACCTCGAGGAAAACTCGCCACAACAGCACTGACCTGCCCCTCTGAGGGCCCCAAGTGCCAGCCCCGTGTCGTGGCTTCGGTCCCTGCCCCTCTCTGTGTCCTGTCCCCCCCGAGTGTGGCTCCCTCTCTCGCCATTGCCATCGCCGGGGCCCAGCGTGGCTCCTGCAGCTGCTGCTGTTGAGGCTCTGTCTGTCTGTCCGTCCTCCCCTCTCTGTGTGTTGCTCGTTTTTCAAGCCTCGTGGGATGTGTGGTGGTTTTTCAAGCCTTGTGGGGTGTGTGGTGGTTTTTCAAGCCTTGTGGGGTGTGTGGTGACTCTGAGGGTGGAATTGCGGTGGCGCAGCCTGGGCTGGGGCAGGGCGGAGGCAGCTGGGCTGTGCCTCGGGGCAGTGCTCCCAAAACTGAACTGCTTCAGGAGCTCTGTGCAAATGGAGCCTGTTCCTCATGGATTTCACACCTCCAGGAGAGCTCTGTGGTGAGGCCACTCCAGAGCTGGGCTTTGCCTTGTGCTCCCAGTGGTGCCTGGAGATGAGGAGCTCACGCCGTGGCCTTTCCCCCCTCAGCTCGCTGTTCGTTCCTGAAGCTTTTTATCCTTCTGTCCCTGTCTCAGATCCAATTTCAATTGGGCAGCTGCAATGAAACCAGGAGGACACAGAGCCATGGGCACACACTGTGATCACAGAAACCTGATTGCCTGAATCCTTAAATTCCCTCCCCTGCTTTAGAAGAGGAGGGAAAGGCCACAACCATGAGGGAGACTGGAAGTTTGGTCTAGAAAACTTCACTTGTGCCATACCCTGCTTTGTTTTTTTTTTTTACCAGGGTTCTATTTGGCAGCTGCTGAGAAGTGCTGTGGGTTTATTTATTTGTTTACTTATTTATTTATGAGCTGCTCCTTTGCATCCCAGTTCGTTGCCAAACTGGTGCCAGTCTGCAGCCTGTGCTCTCCGGGGCTCGCTCCTGCTTGGGAGGACGGGTCCCAAAAGAGCTTGGTGGCTTTGCTGAGCCACCAGCTGGGGGAAAAACACTGTGGAGAGGAGCAGCTGGGCATGCAGAATGTGTGAACTGGGGGGCTGAGAGTTATGGGGTGGGTGGGAAATGGAATGGGAGCCGTGGGAGTGGGAGCGGAGCCGCCGGGCAGCCGAGCTTGGAGCGGCATCAAAGCGACACCCACGAGCCCGGCTGGGGCTGGGAGCAGCCCAGCTCGGTGGCAGGAGGGGATTGTGCACTTTGTTCTCTCGGCTGTGGGCCTGGGAGGGCTCAGATTCCGGCTACATTCGTGGCCTTTTGCTGTGGATTCCTGTCCCGATGCCGGGGCGGCGCTGGGCTGCTCCGGGATGTCCCCTTGTCCCTCCCCGTGGGACACGTGGCACCTCGGCCTGTCCCTGGATTTCTGTGCCTGTTCTGATGGAGAGCAGTGCTCTGGGGTGCTCTGGGGTGCTCTGGGATGCTCTGGGGTGCTTTGGGATCTTGTGGGATTCTCTGGGGTGCTCTGGGATCCTCTGGAATGCTCTGGAGTGCTCTGGGATACTCTGGAATGCTGTGGAGTGCTCTGGGATGCTCTAGGATTCTCTGAGGTTCTCTGGCATGCTCTGGGATCCTCTGGGGTGCTCTGGGATCCTTTAGGAGGCTCTGGGATCCTCTGGGATGCCCTGGGACCCTCTGGGATGCTCTGGGATCCTTTAGGATGCTCTGGGATCCTCTGGGGTGCTGTGGGATCCTCTGGAATTCTCTGGAGTGCTCTGGGATTCTCTGGGATCCTCTGGGATGCTCTGGGATCCTTTAGGATGCTCTGGGATGCTCTGGGATTCTCTGGGGGGTTCTGGGATGCTCTGGGATCCTTTAGGATGCTCTGGGATGCTCTGGGGTGCCCTGGATCCCCCCTCCCTGCCGGCTGTGCCCGTGTTCCTCCTGGGCCAGGGGCTGGCTGCAGTGCCAGCCCTCGTGTCCCCCTTGTCCTTTTCCTGCTGTTGACCCCCATGGGAGAGGAAGGAGCCCCATGCCCCCAGCTCCAGCTCCAGGCCTCGCAAATTCACAAGTTCTGCCTTTTTTTATTTTGTTTTTTGGTGCTGTCCTGTCCTGTTGAGCCGTGACCCTGTTGGGGACAAGGCCAGGTGTCCCCAGTGCCAGTGGTGCCATGTTTGTGTCGCAGAACGTGCAGTCCTTGGCTTGCTGTTGCACTATCAATCCCAAGTGTGCCACGTGCTTCGATCCACTGGTTTTTATTTTCATTTTGGAGGTCCTTGTGCTCGTCTTCCATTCCTTCATCTGTCCCTCGTGCCACCTGTAACTGAAAGGAGACCCAAGTAATATATTTTTATATGTATAACAAATGACTTTATTTGAAGGAAAAAAAACAAAAACAAAAAACAACCCCCACCCCCAAGTAATGTATCCCCCTAAATCCAGCTTTCATTTAGGGAAGTGAGAGAAGAAATTGTTTATATCTATCTATCTATATAAATATATATATAAATATATATATATATATATATAAAAGTTAACCGCGTTAAGCTTTAAATAAAGTATTTAAATAAAGAATTTCTAAGCTGTCAGTGTCACCCTGTGGGACAGCACAACTCCCTCCGGAGCCTCTGTAGGAACCTGCTGGAAATACAAAATCCCCTTTTGCCCAGAAAGGGAAAAGAGGACGGAATGTTTTCCAATTCCATGAGGGCCCTTTCCAGGGAAATTAAATTCCAGGGGAGGTGCTGGGGTGGCTCTTTATGCCACCCCAATTTTGGGATCAGAGAATTCCCCCTGCAGTGCTGGGTTTGCCTTCTTTTTTCTACTTTTTGCTTCTTTTTTCTACCTTTTCCACCCTTTTTCTACCTCTGTCAAGGTCGGGATTGAAGGCACGTGAGATGATGGTTTGTGTTCAGGTCAAACGCAGAAAATCCAAAATTCTCAGCATCCACAACTCCAGCACTGGGGTTCCTTAAAAAATCTGGCAAAATCCCATTTTGGTGGCTCCACCAGAGCTTTGTGTTGGGAAATCGCTTGTTTTTAAAATTTTAGAAGTTTAATAGTAATAAAATGGTTATAAAAATAGTAATACAATTGGAGTAATAACAATTTGGACAATTTGAATTGGGACAATATGAGACAATAAAACCAAAAAGCTGTGGACAGGCTGGGTACCTTTTTGTGGGCAAAATAAGCCCGAAAAAGGATCCACATTAACAGAGGATTAACCCTTAAAAACAACAGCCTGTTGCATATTCATGCACCTCATACATGATGCATAAATTCCATTCAAACACAGGATTCTGTCTGGGCAGTGTCAACTTCTTCCTCCTAATCCTTCGAGGTGGGAAGAAGTTAATTTCGTCTGATAACGGGGCAATAAATTCCTTTTCTCTGAAAGATTCAGCTGTCCTGTGGCTGCTATCTCACTGCAAGTCCTTTCTTTTAAAAAAGCATCCTGCATAGCGTAGCTTCTATTTTAACTTTTTTTATATAACCTAAAACTATATTTAACACACTACTTAAGAGAATTAACACAGCACCACTTTCTAACCCAACACATATAATATTAATTTGAATATTTGTGCAAAAGCCAATGATAAAATATGCACTTTTCACATCTAAAACTATATTTAACACACTACTTAAGAGAATCAAAACAGCATCACTTCCTAACACAACACATATAATATTCATTTGAATATTTGCGAGAAGCCAATGATAAAATACGGATTTTTCACAGGATTCTCCCGGGGTGTTCGGGTTTTGGGACTCTCCCTGAGCAGTGTCACAGCTTCCTCTAGTGGCCGTGGGGGAAACGCTTCCAGAGGAGGATCCGGGCTGGAATTCCAGTCCGTGCTCCTTCATCCCTTCAGTTCTGTGATTTGGGCTCTGTTTTTCCTTGTGGTTGTTTTATTCGGCTTGGTGATGCTCCCCCAGTCTGTTGTGTCCTTATGGAACCCTGTAAAAGTGGATTTTTATGGATTTTCCTTTGGGTCTGGCACTTTCTGCTGGGTTTTCCCCAGGTGAACCCTGTAAATGTGGATTTTTATGGATTTTCCCTTTGGGTCTGGCACCTTCTGCTGGGCTTTCCCCAGGTGAACCCTGTAAATGTGGATTTTTATGGATTTTCCCTTTGGGTCTGACACCTTCTGCTGGGCTTTCCCCAGGTGCTGCTGGCTTGGATGGGAAACTGGGTTGGGACACTCCAGCCATGGAATATACCCTCAGCAGAATCCTCACCTTGGATGCATCCATGAATGTGCCTCTGGCTCTCAGGGATCCATCCTGGAACAGCTGAGTGGGAAAAACGCTCCCAAACCTGCTCTGGAATCTGTCCCTGAAGCTGAGGGGATGCTCTGAGCTCTCCTCTGTCCCAAGCTCAGATGGTTCAGCCTGGTGCTTTGGCAACTGGAAAACTGAGGGATGAGCTGCTTCAGTGAAAAGTTTGCTGAGATTTTGGCTCTCCAAAAAGGGTTTAGGCAGCAAAATGAGGTGAATTTGGGTGGTGCTGAGCCCTGGGGGTGGGGATGGTTCTGTGTGATCCCTTTTGGACTGTCCTGGCCTTGCTGGGCTCCTTCCTCCACCTGGAATTGGGATTTTGGGATGTCTCCTGAGCAGCCATGGCTGAGCAGAGGGAAATCACTGCCTTGACCTTTTTAAGTGGTTCTTGTTTGAGTCTGAGTTAATCCAGCACATTTCTCCCCCTGGTATTTCCTCCCTGGTCAATGCACACAGATTTTCCCCTGTTCCCCTTCCCAAGAACCTCCTGATGGGAGCAGAGCTTCTCCCAGTGCTCCGTGGTCCCATCTGGGAGGGTTTTTTCCCTTCTCACCCATTTCAGGTGCTGGAATCCCTGTGAGCTCTGCATTCCTTGCAGTGAGGGGAAAGGGGAGGTGCTGAAGGCCAAAGGATCTTTATTTCCGCAGACACTCAAATGTGTTTGTTGTTTCTGAGGAATTCTTGTTTTTCTGAGGAATTCTTCTTGTTTTTCTGAGGAATTCTTGTTTTTCTCACCTCACCTGTGCCGCTCACTGGCAGCAAAACCAAGCCAGGGGTGGCATTTCCAGCTCCCTGTTTTCTCATTGTCTCTCCGTGTGACACTGCTCGAGTGGAGGATCATTAATGAACGATTGTTAATGAACCCCATTTCCTAATTGCAGCCCCTGGGAAGGCTGCATTGAGTCTTCCTGGGAATTCTGTCTTTTCCCCAGACTTGGCTGGTCTGGAGGTGCTGCTCAGAGGCAGCAGAACAGGTTTGGGTTCCTGTGCTGGAGGTGGATTCATTACTGAGAGCCCTGGCAGCTTTGAAGTTGCCAATTACAGGCCAGGGGATGGAAAAAGCTCCTTGTAAAGATGGGATCTGATTTGTTTTCCCTTCCCTGAGTGAATGGGATTTTTCCAGGTGCTTCAGTGTCACCTCCAGCTCCTGCTGTCATTGTCACCTGTGCTGGTGCCGCTGAACATTCCTGATGTGGCAGAGAAGCAAAGGTGCTCTGTGGGCTGAACTTCTTGGTGCAATTGCTCCTTTGGGTCATTCCCAGGGAAATCCAGGCCGTGCCTCTCTGAGGAGCAGCTCTGTGCCCTGAGGAGGGCTCCTGAGGTGTGGAGCTGAACAGAATGAATGCAATGGGGTGGTTGTCCCTGCTGGTGACCCACGGGGAGACCTTTCCAGGACAATTCCTGCTGCTGCTTCCCCTCTGCCAATTTGAAGCCATTTCCTTTGTCCTGTCTCAGAGGGAAATGG